TAGTGTATAGTGTAGTGTATATGAGTGTAGTGTATAGTGTAATGTATAGTGTAGTGTATAGTGTAATGTATTGTGTAGTGTATATGACTGTAGTGTATAGTGTAGTGTATATAGTAGTGTATAGTGTAGTGTATTGTGTAGTGTATATGACTGTAGTGTATAGTGTAGTGTATAGTGTATTGTATATGAGTGTAGTGTATAGAGTACTCTATAGGATGAACGTTGAGATTTACAAGGTGCACCAATAAGATGTGAATTGGTAATAAGGTAGAGTACTGATGAGGTGTTGACAGCTAGTAGTGTAGTGTATAGTGTAGTGTATAGTGTAGTGTATAGTGTATAGTGTAGTGTATAGTGTAGTGTATAGTGTAGTGTATAGCAGTGTAGTGTATAGTAGTGTATAGTGTAGTGTATAGTGTATTGTTTCGTAGTGTAGTGTATAGTGTAGTGTATAGTGTAGTGTTTAGTGTAGTGTATAGTGTAGTGTATAGTGTAGCGTATAGTGTATTGTTTCGTAGTGTAGTGTATTGTGTAGTGTATAGTATAGTGTAGTTTATAGTGTAGTGTATCGTGCAGCGTACAGAATAAACGTTAAGATTCACAAGTATCACGGTGTGACCAGCAGCGTCTCCATTGGCCTGTAATAAGCCAGGGCATCAACAAGGGCTTGACAGGGAACGCGAGGCGTGGGTGGGCGTGAGGACGCTCGCTAATCGCATGGCGTGGGGGATGCCGCTTTAACGACCTGAAAGTTTCAGGTGACCAGAGTTCAGATGCCGCGAGCACTCGGAGTCCCGCAGCTGAGTGAACCACCACGAGATTTGTGAGGAATTTGTGTCACGATGTCTCCCCCGACTTGTCTGCCATCAATGTTCCGGGCGATTGCCATACCCGGTCAACCCCTTGACATCCTATGCACTACACTACACTATACACTACACACTACATTGCACACTACACTATACATTACACTATACACTACACCATACACTACACTATACACTACACACTACATTACACACTATACACTACACTATACACTATACTACTATACACTACACTATGTACTACACGATACCCTACACTATACACTACATTATGCTACTATACACAACACTATACACTACACTATACTACTATACACTACACTCTACACTACACTATACACGACACTACACACTACACTATACAGCTATACACTACACACTACACTATACTACTATACACTACACTACACACTACACTGTTCACTACACTACTATACACTACACTATGCACGTCACTATACACTACACCACTACATACCTGTCAACCCCTTATCAGTACCCTACATTATTACAGACCCATTCAGACCGTATTGGTCATCGTGTACCCCTTGTGAACCTCAACGTTCATCCTACAAAGCCTGCATTGAAACGGCTGAACGCTGTGTGGGTCTCAACACTCTGTACATAAACACGGGGTGAACCGTGTGGGTTGACAGAGATAAGTGAGTCTATGGGTCTCTATGAGGTTAGTCTATGGGTCTCTGTGTGGTGAGTCTATGGGTCTCTGTGTGGTGAGTCTGTGGGTCTCTGTGTGGTGAGTCTATGGGTCTCTATGAGGTGAGTCTGTGGGTCTCTGTGTGGTGAGTCTGTGGGTATCTGTGTGGTGAGTCTATGAGTCTCTGCGTGGTGAGTCTATGGGTTTCTGCGTGGTGAGTCTATGGGTCACTCTGTGTGGTGAGTCTATGGGTATCTGTGTGGTGAGTCTGTGGGTATCTGTGTGGTGAGTCTGTGGGTCTCTGTGTAGTGAGTCTGTGGGTCTCTGTGTGGTGAGTCTATGGGTCTCTGTGTGGTGAGTCTATGGGTCTCTGCGTGGTGAGTCTATGGGTTTCTGGGTGGTGAGTCTATGGGTCTCTGTGTAGTGAGTCTATGGGTATCTGTGTGGTGTGTCTATGGGTCTCTGTAGGGTGAGTCTATGGGTTTCTGTGTGGCGAGTCTATGGGTCTCTGTGTGGCGAGTCTATGGGTCTCTGTGTGGTGAGTCTGTGGGTCTCTGTGTAATGCGTCTATGGGTCTCTGTGTGAGGAGTCTATGGGTCTCTGTGTAATGAGTATATGGGTCTCTGTGTAATGAGTATATGGGTCTCTGTGTAATGAGTCTATGGGTCGCTGTGTGGTGAGTCTATGGGTCTCTGTGTGATGAGTCTATGGGTCGCTGTGTGATGAGTCTATGGGTCTCTGTGTGGTGCGTCTGTGGGTCTCTGTGTGGTGAGTCTGTGCGTCTCTATGTGGTGAGTCTGTGGGTCTCTGTGTGGTGAGTCTGTAAGTCTCTCTGTGTGGTGAGTCTATGGGTCTCTGTGTTGTAAGTCTGTGGATCTCTCCGTGTGGGTGAATCTGTGGGTCTCTGTGTGCTGAGTCTGTGGGTCTCTGTGTGGTGAGTCTGTGGGTCTCTGTGTAATTAGTCTGTGGGTCTCTGTGTGGTGACTCTGTGGGTCTTTGTGTGGTGAGTTTATGGATCTCTCTGTGTGGGTGAGTCTGTGGGTCTCTATGTGGTGAGTCTGTGGGTCTCTGTGTGGTGAGTCTGTAGGTCTCTCTGTGTGGTGAGTCTATGGGTCTCTGTGTTGTAAGTCTGTGGATCTTTCTGTGTGGGTGAGTCTGTGGATCTCTGTGTGCTGAGTCTGTGGGTCTCTGTGTGGGTGAGTTTGTAGGTCTCTCTGTGTGGTAAGTCTATGGGTCTCTGTGTGGTGAGTCTTTGGGTCTCTGTGTGGTGAGTTTGTGGGTCTCTGCGTGGTGAGTCTGTGGGTCTCTGTGTGGTGAGTCTGTGGGTCTCTGTGTGGTGAGTCTGTAGGTCTCTCTGTGTGGTGAGTCTATGGGTCTCTGTGTTGTAAGTCTGTGGATCTTTCTGTGTGGGTGAGTCTGTGGATCTCTGTGTGCTGAGTCTGTGGGTCTCTGTGTGGGTGAGTTTGTAGGTCTCTCTGTGTGGTAAGTCTATGGGTCTCTGTGTGGTGAGTCTTTGGGTCTCTGTGTGGTGAGTTTGTGGGTCTCTGCGTGGTGAGTCTGTGGGTCTCTGTGTGGTGAGTCTATGTGTCTCTGCGTGGCGAGTCTATGGATCTCTCTGTGTGGGTGAGTCTGTAGTCTCTCTGTGTGGTGAGTCTATGGGTCTCTGTGTGATGATTCTGTTGATCTCTTTGTGTGGTGAGTCTTTGGGTCTCTGTGTGATGAGTTTGTGGGTCTCTGCGTGGTGAGTCTGTGGGTCTCTGTGTGGTGAGTCTATGGGTCTCTGCGTGGCGAGTCTATGGATCTCTCTGTGTGGGTGAGTTTGTAGGTCTCTCTGTGTGGTAAGTCTATGGGTCTCTGTGCGGCGAGTCAGTGGATCTCTGTGTGGGTGAGTCTGTGGGTCTCTGCGTGGTGAGTCTGTGCGTCTCTGCGTGGTGAGTCTGTGGGTCTCTGTGTGGCGAGTCAGTGGATCTCTGTGTGGGTGAGTCTGTGGGTCTCTGCGTGGTGAGTCTGTGGGTCTCTGCGTGGCGAGTCTATGGATCTCTCTGTGTGGGTGAGTCTGTAGTCTCTCTGTGTGGTGAGTCTATGGGTCTCTGTGTGATGAGTCTGTGGATCTCTTTGTGTGGGTGAGTCTGTATGTCTCTCTGTGTGGGGAGTCTATGGGTCTCTGCGTGGTGAGTCTGTGGCTCTCTGTGTGGCGAGTCTATGGGTCTCTGTGTGGTGAGTCTACGGGTCTCTGTGTGGTGAGTCTATGTCTCTCTGTGTGGCAAGTCTGTGGGTCTCTGTGTGGTGAGTCTATGGGTCTCTGTGTTGTGAGTTTATGGGTCTCTGTGTGGTGAGTCTATGGGTCTCTGTGTGGTGAGTCTATGGGTCTCTGTGTGGTGAGTCTATGGGTCTCTGTGTGGGTGAGTCTGTGGCCGGCAAGTTGACACGACGAAGTCTTTGGGCAGTGCCCGTGATGCCCAGCCCACAACATCGCCTCTCAGCCTTTTCACTCAGCGTGGCGACGCTCATGATTATTCATCCTTGAATTTTTATTTGTAAATTAAACTCCGTCCACTATTATCGGTCAACGTGTCCCAAACTTAATAATTCTCTTTTGCCCGAAGCCTCGATGGACACTAATTCACCTTGAACGCGCTGACTCTCGCATTCTGTCTCCGCTGTTTGCCTCATTTGCGTTGACTTCCATGATAGAGGTTTTTTTTAGGTTAGATCCACCGCGTGAATGTGTAAATGTTGTGTCGTTACAACTCGCCACCACCCAACACAGCCAACTAGTAAGGGTTGTGTCACGTAAACAGAACGTGCCAATTCGTCAATATTACAGCACTAGTGTGTAGTGTAGTGTATAGTAGTGTAGTGTGTAGTGTAGTGTATCGTGTAGTGTATAGTGTAGTGTATAGTAGTGGAGTGTAAAGTGTAGTATACTAATACAGCACACTGGTGTGTGCTGTATTAGTATACTACACCAGACACTATACTATACACTACACTACTATACACTACACTATACACTACTACACTATTCACTACACTATACATTACACTATACACTACACCAGACACTACACTATACACTACTACACTATATGACAAGAAGGAAATAAAAAAGAAAGAAACTAACAAAACGTTATTTTTTTAAGAAGAAAAGAAAGAAGAAAGAAGAAAAGAAAGCTGAATAGAAACAAAAATGAAATCTAACGAAATCAAAATATTTAAGGAAAAGAAGGAAAAATAAAAGAAGGAAAAAAATTAAGTCAACTAAAAAACCTTAAAGTAACGAAAGAAAGAAAGACAAAAAGAAAAATAGAAATGAAGAAAAAACTTAAGAAAACTAAACAACGTGAAAATTTTAAAGAAGAGAATTTAAAGAAAGAAAAAAGACGGGAAAACAGAAAGAAAAAAAATCGAACGAAGTCAAAATATTTAATTAAAAGAAGGAAAGAAATTTTTTAAGAAATAAAAAAGAAAGAACTAACACCTGTTCTGAAGTCATGGGGGGGGGGGGGCACGCGCCGGTGGGCCACGTGCGTCGGTTGACCACGTGGCCCACGTGGGTCGGTTGACCACGTGGCCACGTGGGTCGGTGGCTATAAAAGTGCGAGAAGTACCAGCGAGAGGAGGGAGGAAGATTGGAGAGTGACATCGATTCTCTGTCAAGAGTTAAGCCCCTTGTGGTGAGTGGTGAGCGAGAGTGGTGAGTGTGAGAGGTGAGTTGTGAGTGTCGAGTTCTGAGTGGTGAGTTGTGAGTGGTGAGTGTGAGAGGTGAGTGGTGAGTTGTGAGTGGTGAGTGTTGAGTTGTGAGAGGTGAGTGTTGAGTGTCGAGTTCTGAGTGGTGATTTGTGAGTGGTGAGTGTGAGAGGTGAGTGGAGGGGTTGTGAGTGGTGAGTGTTGAGTTGTGAGAGGTGAGTGTTGAGTGGCGAGTTCTGAGTGGTGAGTTGTGAGTGGTGAGTTGTGAGTGTGAGTAGTGAGTGGTGAGTTGTGTGAGTAGTGAGTGTGAGAGGTGAGTGGTGAGGGAGAGTGGTGAGTGGTGAGGTGAGTTGTGAGAGGTGAGTAGTGAGTTGTGAGAGGTGAGTGGTGTGAGTGTTGAGTGTGAGTGGTCATTGTGAGTGTGAGCAGGTGAGTAGTGAGGGAGTGTGTGGTGAGTGATGAGAGGTGACATGATTTGTGAGTGGTAGTTGTGAGTGGTGAGTGTGAGAAGTGAGTTGTGAGTGGTGAGTTGTGAGTGGTGAGTGTGAGAAGTGAGTTGTGAGTGGTGAGTGTGAGTGATGAGTTGTGAGTGGTGAGTTGTGAGTGTGAGAAGTGAGTGGTGAGTTGTGAGTGGTGAGTTGTGAGTGGTGAGTGTGAGAAGTGAGTTGTGAGTGGTGAGTGTGAGAAGTGAGTGGTGAGTTGTGAGTGATTGTGAGTGGTGATTGTGAGAGGTGAGTTGTGTGAGTTGTGAGTCTCAGTAGTGAGTGTGAGTAGTGAAGATGAGTGGTGAGTTCTGAGTGGTGTGAGTGGTGAGAGTGGTGAGTTCCTGAGTGGTGAGTTCTGAGTGTTGAGTGTGAACGGGAGAGTAGTGAGTGAGTGTGTGGTGAGTGTGAGTGTGAGTCGTGAGTGGTGAGTTGTGAGAGTGGTGAGTGGTGAGTGTGAGTGTTGAGTGTGCGAGGTGAGTGTGAGTCGTGAGTGGTGAGTTGTTAGAGTGGTGAGTGTGAGTAGTGAGTGGTGAGTTGTGTGAGTGGTGAGTTGTGTGAGTGGTGAGTGTGAGAGGTGAGTGGTTAGTTGTGAGTGGTGAGTTGTGAGTGATGAGTGATTATCGCGATTGAAATCGCCAAAGTAAATGTTCGAATTATTGTTCTTGATATAAACGAATTACATTTAAGTCCATGCTCATAACGGCGTCGCGATTTGCACCGCTGTGTCGATGCTGTGCACATTGTTGCAGCATTGCAGTCTTTGGGTGTCTTAGAGTACCGGATGAAGCTAAGTGTAGCATTTGTTGCTATAAAGGGGCCCTAAATAAAATTAAAATAAAACACTTAAATATTAAGACACAAATTGTTTAACTTGCACGGTGAAGTAATTGTATTGTTTCATTTGCTCTACAGCCAGATTATACGACAAATCGCTAACCTTAAACACCCCCAGTAGTTCGTAAAAATTGAAGGCGGTGTAGTACTATAGTAGTAGAGCAAGTGCAGAATCACTGAACCGGAATTGATAGTTTGAAAGCGTTTAGCGTGGGGCCCTTGAACGTGCGGAGCCCGTTGCTACAACATATGTAGTAGCTACTACATACTACATATGTAGTAGCTACTACTTATGTAGTAGCTACTACATATGTAGTAGCTACTACATATGTAGCTACTACATATGTAGTAGCTACATAAGTAGTAGCTACACGTGTAGTAGCTACATGTGTAGTAGCTACACAAGTAGTAGCTGTAATAACCATAAGACAAAAAGTTAATGTATTATTTCTGTGTATACATTTCATGTACATCCGTCATACATTTGTTGACAGACTGCTTATATTTGATTTGGAATATTCCAACTATTTAGAAACCCCCCCCCCCCCTCCCCTGTGGTTGGACGCTCCGTTGGTTGAACCCGTGACGTCACTTCCGGTCTCACAGTATAAATGAGAAGTTGTGGGAAGAGTTGGGCAGGTAGCGAGTGGACACAGTCCTTGAACGTGACACGGCAGCGTGACACGGCAGCGCGTGGACAGGCGAAGATATCAACTTTAGACATCGCTCGTTTTTGTGCAACTAATAAATAAATAAAGAGTTTTGATTGAAGACACCTCAAACACGCGGCAGACTTATTGCTCCCGCAAGTTAAGGCGTCGCTTATTTTTTGGTATAAGAAAGCTGCGCCTACAGTAGTAGCTACTACATACTACATAATGTAGTAGCTACTACCACCCACGCCACCCACCCACACCACCCACCCCACCCGACCCCACCCACCCGACCAACTCCTTCCACCCCACCCCACCCACTCCTCCCACCCCACCCACTCCACCCCACCTACTCCACCTCACCCACCACACCCCACCCACCCCACCTACCACCCACCAACCACCTACCCCACCTACCACCCACCCCACCCATCAGTGACTCTGCACACAGAAACTCCGCACTCAGCGACTCTTAGAACTCCACCGCTGCACTCACCTACCGTTGCCTCATACCCGCTCACCCATCTGTCCCTTATCATCACCCCCACCATCTCCCGTCTCCCCGACGCCAACCTCCTGCCTCAACGTGCCCACCTGCTCGCCCTCGTTTGCACCCGCTTATCCCCATAGTTACCGGTGGTTTGTCGGTGCAAACCTCGTGTCGCAACGCGCACACACCTGTTCGTTCTCAGTTGCACCCGCTTAACTGCCCGCACCGCGTACATCTCTCCTCTACACCAGTAACGAATTGGCCACGCTCTGTTTGCATGACAAACCCCTACCGGTTGGCTGTGTCGGTGGTGGCGGGGTTACACGTGGCTATCTAACCCAAAAAAAAACTCCATTATGGATGACGTTGGTCACAAAAGCCTTCTGCGCGTTAAACGGAGCTGTAATTCTCGTGGACGAGGGCTCTCTCGACCTCAAAACGGCGATGCTCGTCAATGCTCAAACCTTTCCGTCTTTGAGACTTGAACTTTTTTTTCGTCGCCACCTATTTTACCGGTCGTTAATTATCTGACCCAATGTCTGTTCCTTTTTTGGGAATCGCCATAACGACGTCGGCTAAAGCGAATCTGTCTATCAAGCGACATTGCGCGCGTAGATTGACGCAGAGCTTGCGGGTGACCGTCGCGATGTTCGCGCGCGTGCGTGCGTCTTGCGCCGAGCAGGTCGAGAGAGGAGAGAATGCCGTACCCACTGGCCATACACACGTGCGGAGGACAAGGCGGCACCGACTTCAGCTTCGACGGCAGGAACAACGGGGCGACGCTTGAGAAGATCTGGGTGTGGGTGGGCGGGTGGCAGGTGAAGTGCGTGAAGGCCTGGCTGACCAACGGAACCTCCGCGCAGTATGGCAGCCCGTCGGGATCCCACAGCGAGTTCGTCTTCCAGCCCGGCGAGCTCTTCTCGTCGCTGTCACTGTGGGGCAACGGCGCCGGGACGCGCCTGGGCGCCATCAAATTCAAGACCAGCAAGGGGCGGGAATTCTTCGTGAAGATGACCGACTGGGGGCTGAAGACGGAGTACCCCGTCGACGTCGGATCGGGGATCTGCCTCGGGATTCTGGGCAAGGGCGGCTCAGACATCGACTGCATGGGCTTCGTGTTCATCAATTCGGTGAAGCGGTCCGAGATGATCAACGTGACGTACCCGACGCTGCACCGGGAGCTCCCGAAGGTCCAGATGGAGGAGATCAAGTCCATCAGCTACAAGAACCGGGGCTCCGTCCCGCAAACCTACAAGGTGGAGACCTCCAAGACGCTGACCAAGACCTCGTCGTGGTCGATCGCGAACAAGCTCGAGGCGACCGTCAGCATCAGCGTCAAGGCCGGCATCCCCGACGTCGTCGAGGTGGAGAGCGGCTTCAGCTTCACGGTGGGCACCGAGAGCACCCGCAGCGTCGCGAACTCCGAGTCGAAGACAGAGCTCCTCTCGTTCGACGTCACCGTGCCCCCGGGCAAGACGGTGTCCATCGACATCAACATCGGCCGCGCGGAAATCGACCTCCCCTACAAGGGCACGGTGCGCATGACCCTGTTGAACGGCGCCACCTTCGACGTCCCCATGGAGGGGGTCTACAAGGGCCTCGCCTACACCAAGGCGACGGCCGAAACGCGGGAAAAGTGACGAGGGCCGGCACCCGCCCCCCTCGCGAGGGCCTCCGAGCTTCTTCCACGCTTCTTTCGCGCTTCTTCCGTGCTACTTCTGCGCTTTGCCAGCGGCGCCGCCGCCGCATGCCAACGCCGCCGCCTACCTGTTCCCTGCGGAGGCCGAGCATCGCAAAAAAACGGTGCTGAGGGAGGGTAATTTGTTCGATGGGCTGCCGGAGGAGGAGGAGCCGAGGAAAATTCCCCCGCGGCAAAAGCGAAAACGACGAGGGAGAGGAATAGAAAGAAGAAAAGTGACTATGACGACGCACGTTGATGACGACGATGGCCGATAGAGTCTGCACTGCCAGCACAGAGTCAAGCGCAGAATCAATCAGGTGGACCCGGTCCCCTCAAAGGAGGGGGGGGAGACGTTCGACCGAAATCGGAGAGCGACGGCCACCACCACCACTGCCACCACCACCACTGCCACTGCCATCGCCCCCACCACCACCACTACCACCACTCCCGCCACCACCACCACCACTGCCACCGCCCCCACCAACACCACCAACGTACGAATGGCACCAAACTAAATAATAGAGATGCAAAAACTATAGGATGTTCACCCACGTAATTGACCAAATGAATCACGTGCGTTTGGACGGCCATTTTACTGAAACGCCCGAACACACAAACAATGACGACGACGACCGCCATTCGCCACCAAGCGGCGGTGACGTCACCACGACGCTTGTGCCAGGCTATGTGCACCTTGAGGCCACGTGAAGTGTCGAACGCCCGCTGGCAGGAGGTCACGGGGCAGACCCAGCAGCTGCCATTGGTGGTACCAACTGAGATGACCGGTAGATGCATCACTGGCTGTAGGGGGGCTACTGTGCCAACTTACTGCATTTTATCCGCCCGGCGCTCTGCTCGTTGTTGTGAGCGTCGCTCCTCCGCCCTCCGTTGTTGTTGCTGAAGGGGCGACTGCCTCCAACTGTCCAGTAGCCTCAACGTGCACCTAGCCTGGCACTGCCCAGTAGCAGCAGCCTCCTTCACGAGGCTCCTCCTCCACAGAGGTCGATCTTGACACCGCTGGTACTGGTCATCGGCAAGTCCACGCAGACACGCACGTGTGTGTGTGTGTGAGTGTGTGTGCGCGTGTGTGTGTGTGCGAGTGTGTGCGTGTGTGCGAGTGTGCGCGCGTGTGTGTGCGCGTGTGTGTGCGCGTGTGTGCGAGTGTGTGTGCGTGTGTGTGCAAGTGTGTGCGTGTGTGTGCGCGTGCGTACGAGTGTGTGCGTGTGTGTGTGCGTGGACTTGCCTTCAACTTCACACCGCGAAGCGTAAATCAGGAGGAAGGTGGTGGCCTCAAATTGGCGACAGCTCCTCCGACGTTGACGTCCAAAACGAGTTGGGGGGGGGATCCTCCCCCCCTCTTATCGCGTCCGTCGCCACCAATTCAGTTATGAGTCGCGTGCTCTTTGAATCGTGGTAAAGTGCATGCAAGCAGAAAGGGGGTCGCGCGCGCGTTTCACTGCACGTGAATCATCGGTGCTACGGGATGGCTGTGCAGGGTGAGAAATAAAATAAAATGTCTTTGAAAAAGAACGCGGGAACTGCGGTTGCTCTGTGGTGAGGGGTGGCATCGTCCGAAAACCCAAAAAAAACCCACCACCTGGGTTAGAGTCCGGACTCGGTTAAGCCGGGACTCTCGGTCGCGACGAGTTGGTGGCCATGAGAAGAAAAAATGTCATGCTGCAGTCACGAAAGCTTTAAATCGAAAAGTGCTGGACTCGTCACGAACTGAGCTCCGTTCCCGTGACACCGAAGCTCACCGATTGGCTGCGTCGGGCGGTGGGCGGGGCTCTAATGACGTCGACGCGGTCACGTGACCTGAACTTGATCTTAGCGTGACGACAAGAGAGCAAGGACAGTGGGGGTGGTGGTGTAATGGTGGTGTAGTGGTGGTGGTGGTGTAGGGGTGGTGGTGTAGTGGTGGTGGTGGCGTAGTGGTGGTGGTGTCGTGGTAGTGGTGATGGTGTAGTGGTGGTGGTGTGGTGGTGTAGTGGTGGTGTAATGGTGGTGGTGGTGTGGTGATGTAGTGGTGATGTGGTGGTGTAGTGGTGGTGGTGTCGTGGTAGTGGTGTTGGTGGTGTGGCGGTGGTGTAGTGGTGGTGTAATGGTGGTGGAGTGGTGGTGTAGCAGTGACCTCCTGCCAGCGGGCGTTCGACACTTCACGTGGCCTCAAGGTGCACATGGCCTGGCACAAGCGTCGTGGTGATGTCACTGCCACTTAGTGACGAATGGCGATTGTTGTTGTTGTGTCTCTGTGTTTGTGTGACTGTGTGTGTATCTACCTGTGTGTGTATCTACCTGTGTGTATCTACCGGTGTGTGTATCTACCTGTGTGTGTATCTACCGATGTGTGTGTCCGCCAAAACAACCCCCTACCTCCTCGTGGTGCCGGACGGTAACGCTGTGGTGGGCGGTGCCGTGGGGGGAGGGCCAACCTAGATTGGCCATTCCCTTCATGGCGTTTGTAACCACCGCAGCGTTTCTTTACGACAATTTATATACTGTGTCTTTGTGTGTGTGAGGGATTAGACACACATACATATGGGTGTCTTTTTAGTAGTGTAGTGTACAGTAATGTATAGTGTAGTGTACAGTATAGTTTAGTGTATAGTAGTGTAGTGTATAGTAGTGTATAATGTAGTGGTGTATAGTGGTGTAGTCTATAGTGGTGTAGTATATAGTAGTGTATAATATAGTGTAGTGTACAGTATAGTTTAGTGTATAGTAGTGTAGTGTATAGTAGTGTAGAATAATGTGTGTGTAGTGTAATGTGTAGTGCATAGTGTAGTGTATCGTAGTGTATAGTGGTGTAGTGTATAATGTAGTGGTGTATAGTGTAGTGTATAGTGGTGTAGTATATAGTAGTGTATAATGTAGTGGTGTATAGTGGTGTAGTCTATAGTGGTGTAGTATATAGTAGTGTATAATGTAGTGTAGTGTATAGTGTATAATGTAGTGTATAATGTAGTGTATAGTAGTGTATAGTGTATAGTGTATAGTGTAGTGTATAGTAGTGTATAGTGTAGTGTATAATGTAGTGTATAGTAGTGTAGTGTATAGTGCAGTGTATAGTGTAGTGTATAGTGTGTATAATGTAGTGTAGTGTATAATGTAGTGTATAGTGTAGTGTATATAGTAGTGTATAGTAGTGTAGTGTATAGTAGTGTATAATGTGGTGTAGTGTATAGTGTATAATGTAGTGTATAGTGTAGTGTATAGTGTAATGTATAGTAATGTAGTGTGTAGTGTAGTGTATAGTGTAATGTATAGTAGTCTATAATGTAGTGTATAGTAGTGTATAGTGTAGTGTATAGTAGTGTATAGTGTAGTGTATAGTAGTGTATTGTATAGTGTATAATGTAGTGTATAGTGTAGTGCAGTGATGCACCCCAGGTGGGGGAGCAGGGTGCTCGCTCGTCACACAACAGAAGCAGACGGACACCATCGTCGTCGTCGTTTTTTATGGCAAGGCAGACGCGCACGCACTCGCGTCGAGGGTGGTGGTGTAGCGGTGGTGTAGTGGTGGTGTAGCAGTGGTGGTGTAGCGGTGGTGTAGTGGTTGTGGTGGTGTAGTGGTGTAGCGGTGGTGGTGTAGCGGTGGTGTAGTGGTTGTGGTGGTGTGATGGTGTAGCGGTGGTGGTGTAGTGGTGGTGTAGTAGCGGTGGTGGTGTAGTGGTGATGGTGTAGTGAACATCGCTAGCACTGGGGGTGAGACAAAGGCGGCCGGGCGTGGTGGTGCTGGCCACACCACCCCTCTGTGTGTAGCCAGTGCCAGTAGCCTTCATAGGTGATGCTGCTACTAACAGCACTTGCCCCTACAGCCTGCTAGAGGCTACACGGGGGATCTTTGTCTGTGTGTAACAGCACTTGCCCCTTTAGCCCTGCTCGAGGCTACACGGGGGATCTTTGTCTGTGTGTAGGTGCTACTGACAGCACTTGCCCCTACAGCCTGCTAGAGGCTACCTGGGGGTAGCCGAGGTAGCGCAATCGAACCAAGAGGCTAAGCTGGGACCCAGCTTAGCCAAGGCAGTTCAAGACCATATCGTCTGTTACAGTCAGAGGATAGTGGGTGGGTGAGTGAGTGGATGGTTGTGTGGGTGAGTGTGTAGGTGGGTGTGTGGGTGGGTGTGTGAAAGTATTGGTGGGTGAGTGAGTGGATGGGTGAGTGGATGGGTGAATGTATGGGTGGGTGTGTGGGTGAGTGTATGGGTGGGTGAGTGGATGGATGGGTGAGTGAGTGGATGGGTGAGTGTATGGGTGGGTGAGTGTGTGAGTGGGTGAGTGTATGGGTGGATGAGTGGATGGATGGGTGGGTGAGTGTGTGGGTGGGTGAGTGTGGATGGGTGGGTGAGTGTGTGAGTGAGTGTATGGGTGGGTGAGTGGATGGGTGGGTGAGTGTATGGGTAGGTGAGTGTGTGGGTGGGTGAGTGTATGGGTGGATGAGTGGATGGGTGAGTGGATGGATGGGTGGGTGAGTGTATGGGTGAGTGTGTGGGTGGGTGTGTGGATGGGTGAGTGGGTGTGTGGGTGAGTCGGTGAGTGGGTGAAAGAAACATTCTGTATAATAATAATTAAATATATTTTACAACTTGGCCCAAGTTTTCTTTTTAAAATTTAAACTCGCCAAGTTGATGTCCTTCAACGCGAGGAGTTCCACACGAACCACCACCACCATCAACAGCAGCTTCTGTTTGGCCGCGTAGAGGGAGCTAAACGGGCACGACATTGGCTGGAGAAGAGATGGAGCTGATGGGTCCACTGCCCATAGACTAACACTGCCCATGTAGATTCAACACTGCCCATAGAATAACACTGCCCATAGACTCAGCACTGCCCATAGACTCAACACTGCCCATAGACTCAACACTGCCCATAGACTAACACTGCCCATAGACTCAACACTGCCCATAGACTCAGCACTGCCCCATAGACTCAACACTGCCCATAGACTCAGCACTGCCCCATAGACTAACACTGCCCATAGACTCAGCACTGCCCCATAGACTCAACACTGCACCATAGACTCAACAGTGCACCTCCAATTAGCCGCGTTTGGCTACGTACTGTGTGAAAGAAGTTCAATGTAATGATGATCACACAGCGGTAATGATGATCACAGCGGTGATGATGATCACACAGCCGCTTGTCCATCTCGTAGGCTGGGTAATACTGCTCAGGGTAATAATGGGAGGGTGAGTGGCTGAGTGACAGGAGACAGACACAGAGAGACACAGAGGCAGAGACACAGAGACAGACACAGAGACAGACACACAGAGACACACATAGACACACAGACACACAGAGACACACAGAGACACAGAGGCACACAGACACACACAGACACACACAGACACAAACAAAGAGACAGAGACACACACAGACACAGAGGCAGAGACACACACAGACACACACACACAGACATACACACAGAGACACACAGACACACAGACACACAGACACACACACAGAGAGACACACAGACACACAGACACACACACAGACACACACACAGACACAGACACACACACAGACACACACACAGAGGCAGAGACACTTCTGGAATTCATTTCCGGCTTCAGTTCCTGCTCCAGTTCCGGATTCTTTCTGGTTTACGTTCTGGGTTCAGTTCCAGTTCCGGATTCAGTTCCTGCTCCAGTTCTGGATTCCATTTCTGCTCCGGTTCCGGATTCAGTTCCGGATTCAGTTCTGGTTTACTTTCTGGTTTCAGTTCCAGTTCCGAATTCAGTTCCTGGTCCAGTTCCGGATTCAGTTCCGGATCCGGTTTCCAGGTCCCGGCTCCGGCCGGCGATCACTTCCTGGGCCGCCTCCCTGAGCGTCGCCACCGCCATTCCCCTCATCACTGCGCCTCTCCAATCCACCACCACCACCCCCACCACCACCACCAACTCCTCCTCCACCACCTCCACCAACTTCTCCTCCACCACCACCTCCCACCTCCTTCCCCAACCCCCCCGCATCAGCCACCTCCTCCCCCTCCTCCTCCCCCCCCTCCTCCTCCCCCTCCTCCTCCCCCCCTCCCCCCCCCGCCCCCCCCGCCAGCACGAGCCCCCCGAGCTGGGCGTGCGAGGCCTCGGTGAGGGCGCGAGTCTGGAGGCAGGCGCGGCGCTGAGCCCCCGCCAGGCCCCGCGGGCACCGCTTGGCGTGGTGCAGGTGGAAGAGGCCGCGGGCCGGAGCGCGAACCACCACAAAGCCTCCTCCTCCTCCTCCTGCTGCTGCTGCTGCTGCTCCAACCGCCCCTCCAACCGCCCCTACCCCAACTGCCCCTCCAACTGCCACTCCTCCAACCGCCCTTCCAACTGCCACTCCTCCAACTGCCACTCCAACTGCCACTCCAACTGCCCCCACTCCTCCTGCCCCTGCTGCTGCCCCTGCAGCTGCCCCCGTCGCTGTGCCCGCCGCCGCCGCCGCGCCCCGCTGGAGGTGCTTGCGGTAGAGAGCCACGTCCTCCCCACCCCAGCCACGGATGTCCGGGTCGAAACCGCCTGGTGGGGGGGTGGTGGTGGGGGGGGGGGGGGGAGATAGTGGGGGGGTGGGTGGTCGGATAGGTGAGTGAGTGAATGGGTGAGTGGGTGGGTGGGTGGGTGGGTGAGTGGGTGGGTGGGTGAGTGGGTGGGTGGGTGAGTGGGTGAGTGAGCAAATGAGTAGGTGGGTTAGTGGGTGATTGAGTGGGTGAGTGAGTGTGTGAGCGAGTGAGTCAGTGACTGTGTGGGTGAGTGAGGAGGTGAGCGAGTGAGTAGGTGGCTGAGTGGGTGAGTGAGTGGGTGAATAGGTGAGTAGGTTAGTGAGTGAGTAGGTGAGTGGGTGAGTGAGTGGGTGGGTGCGTGAGTAGGTGAATGAGTGAGTAGGTGGGTGAGTGTGTGGGTAGGTGAGTGGGTGAGGAACTCACCAACAGCGAGGTAGTCTGAGAGGTACTGGCAGGTCATGCCGAAGCCAAAGTCTCTCCAGAAGCCGGTCTCCTTCTTGATCACCTGGCCTCTCACATCATCATCAACATCACCATCACCACCATCACCACCATCACCACCATCACTACCATCACTATCACCACCACCATCACCACCACCATCACTACCACCATCACCACCACCATCACCACCACCATCATCACCACCATCACCACCACCACTATCACCACCATCACTACCACCATCACTACCACCATCACTACCACCATCACTACCACCATCACCACCATCACTACCACCATCACTACCACCATCACCACCACCACTATCATCACCACCATCACTACCACCATCACTATCACTACCACCATCACTACCACCATCACCACCACCATCACTACCACCATCACTACCACCATCACCACCATCACCACCACCATCATCACCACCATCACCACCATCACCACCACCATCACGATCACCATCACGATCACCATCACCACCATCACCACCACCATCACCAACACCACCATCACCGCCATCACCATCATAGTACTATCACAGCACTATCACAGCACCATCACTACCACCATCATCACCCCAATGACCCCCGTGACCCCAGTGACCCCCAGTGACCCCCCGTGACCCCGAGTGACCCACCAGCTGTTGCGTGAGGGGCGGCATGCTGTCGTGGTGAGCGTAGACGATGGCCGGGTTGTAGAGGCTGAACACCACCGGGTAGTAGACCCTGCTGCCTGTACACACACAGTGTACACACACACAGTGTACACACACACACACAGTGTACACACACAGTGTACACACACACACAGTGTACACACACAGTGTACACACACACACAGTGTACACACACAGTGTACACACACACACAGTGTACACACACATAGTATAGACACACACGCACAGTGTACACACACACAGTGTACACACACATAGTATAGACACACACACACAGTGTACACACACACAGTGTACACACACACAGTGTACACACACATAGTATAGACACACACGCACAGTGTACACACACACAGTGTACACACACATAGTATAGACACACACACACAGTGTACACACACACAGTGTACACACACACAGTGTACACACACAGTGTACACACACACACAGTGTACACACACAGTGTACACACACACAGTGTACACACACACACACAGGTACACACACACAGTGTACACACACAGTGTACACACACAGTGTACACACAGTGTACACACACACAGTGTACACAACAACAACCGCCATTCGCCACTAAGTGGCGGTGACGTCACCATGATGATACACACAGTGTACACACACACACAGTGTACACACTACACACTACACTATACACTACACTACGATACACTACACTATACACTACACACTACAGACTACACTACGATACACTACACTCTACACTACACTATGATACACTACTCTACACTACACTATACACTACACTACGATACACTACACTCTACACTATGATACACTACTACTACACTACACACGACACTGCCCCTGGTACCCACCAGGCCGTGCGTGCGTGCGACAGGAAGTGAGGAACTCCGCCGTGAAGACGACGTCCACATCACAGAAGAAGAGCAGCACCTCCCCCCCGGTAGGCCACGCCCCCTTTCCCCCAGCAGGCCACGCCCCCTCGCCGCCCCTCCCCCCACCCCCACCCGGCCACGCCCGGGCCCCCGCGTCGAGCCCAACCCCGCGGGAGAACTCCCCGGCCAGCGGCACCATGGAGACGTTGGGGAAGCCCTCCAGCCTGGGGGGTGGGGGAGGGGTGGGGAAGGGGGGGAGGGGTGGGGAAGGGGGGGAGGGGGAGTGGAGGGGTGGGGGGGTGGGGGAGGGGGTGGGGGAGGGGGTGAGGGGTGGGGGAGGGGCATTCATAGGTCAAAGTTGGGTCTCACTGTGTGTGTGTGTATGTGTATCTCTGTGTGTGTGTTTGTGTGTATGTGTCACTGTGTGTGTATGTACGTGTGTGTGTGTATGTGTGTGTGTGTATGTGCGTGTGTGTGTGTGTATCAGTGGGGAGCGGTGGTGTAGCGGTTAGCACGCTGCGCTATGAACCTGGCGACCCGGGTTCGATTCCCGCTCACGGCTAACACCAGTGACAATTATCTGAACCGGTCCTGGGCCTCCCCTAGGTCGACTCAGCCTTAAATGAGTACCTGGTGCGGTGTGTAAACATCGCCACTAGGGAGACAAAGGCGGTCGGGCGTGGTGCTGGCCACCCACCCCCTTGTGTCCGTTCCGGCCTTCATAGGTGCTCGCTAACAGCACTTGCCCCAACAGTCTGTTAAGGCTATACTGGGGGTGTTTGTGTGTATGTCACTGTGTGTGTGTGTGTGTGTATGTGTGTGTATGTGTGTATGTATGTGTATATGTGTGTGTATGTGTGTATGTATGTGTGTGTGTGTATGTGTGTATGTGTGTGTGTGTCTGTATGTGTGTATGTGTGTGTGTGTCTGTATGTGTGTGTGTCTGTATGTGTGTGTATGTGTGTGTATGTGTGTGTGTGTATGTGTGTGTATGTGTATGTGTGTCCGTGCGTGCGTCTCACTGGGTGCTCCTCAGGATGTCTTCCACCTCGCGGAGTCCCGGAGATCCAAAGTAAACGACGGTCAGATGCACCGGGCCACGCTGGCTCGCAACTACCTGTCTGTAGCGCCACACAGTCACACACGAACACAGCATCACACACACAGCGTCACACACAGCGTCACACACGAACACATCACACACACACAGTCACACACACACAGCGTCACACACACAGTGTTACACACGCACAGCATCACACACACAGCGTCACACACAGCATCACATACACAGCGTCACACACAAAGCGTCACATACACAGCGTCACACACACAGCGTCACACACAGCGTCACACACGAACACATCACACACACACAGTGTCACACACAGCGTCACACACACAGCGTCACACAGTGTTACACACGCACAGCATCACACACACAGCGGCACACATACACAGCGTCACACAAGGTGTCACACACACAGCGTGACACACACATCTTGACACACACACAGCGTTACACACACAGCATCACATACACACACAGCGTCACACACATTGTGACACAACAACAACCGCCATTCGCCACTAAGTGGTGGTGACGTCACCACGACGCTTCTGCCAGGCCATGTGCACCTTGAGGCCACGTGAAGTGTCGAACGCTCGCTGGCAGGTCACGGGGCAGACCCAGGTGCCACGGGTCGATTGAGATGGCTTACCACTTCCCACACCTCACCACCACGCTCCCACACCCCCTTAATTCTTTTGTTCAGAAGAAGAGCCACTCCCTGTTGTTTGGTAGTCTCCTTCCCCGAGTAGAGGACTGTCCACCCCTAATGGTGGCAGGAGCCAGAGCCGGTCCACCCGACCTCCTGAATGCCACAGAGATCCAGGCGGTACCGGTCTAGCTCCCGACAGAGGAGTGGCAGCCTCTCCTCCGCAGTGAGCATTCAAACATTCCACGTGGCCATCCGTAGTGGCTTTTGTTGTTTCTGGAGGAGCCCCGTGGGTGAAGATTCAATCTCCTGGCTCCGCCAAATGGGAGTTGGCCAGGAGACGTCATAGACGCCTGTCCCCCTGGGGCCTCCAGCACAAGCTTATTTATTACATTTTTCATTCGTGGTTTAATGGTAATTTATTGAAGGTGGAGGGGTTACCAGCCCCTCGCACCCGCCCAGAGCCCCCATTTGGCCACTGTGGTGGTCACAAACGCCATGAGGGGAAAGACCAATCGGAATTGGCACTCCCCCCCACAGCACTGTCCACAGACACACACACAGATAGACACACACACAGATAGACACACACACACAGACAGAAACACACACAGACACACCACCACCATCACCACCATCACCACCACCACCGTCACCACCGCCCACCTAAAGTTTTGCATGAAAGCGCGGAACGCGTTGGTGCGCCGTGCCAACGGCACCACCACGTGGAGCGGCGGGAGATACCCGCCACCACCGCCACCACCGCCGCCACCACCACCGCCACCACCGCCACCACCGCCGCCACCACCACCGCCACCACCGCCACCACCGCCGCCAACGTCGCCAGCGTCTTCCACGGCCACCACCACGGGCGGTGCCAGCGGGCGGAACAGCGTGACCACGCGCAGCGGCGATCCGCCAACCCCGGCCGAGTCGTCGGAGCCGCCGGTCTCCGCGGGGCGGCGGAAGGCGAGTCGATACTCGGTGCCCTTGTCGCGCTCGCTGCGGAACAGCCCTGCGGTGGGGAGGGTGGGGGGGGTCGGTGGGGGGTGAGTGGGTGGGTGAGTGGGTGGGTGGGTGACTGAGTGGTTGAGTGGGTGAATGGGTGGGTGAGTCAGTGAGTGGGTGAGTGAGTGGATGGGTGAGTGAGTGGGTGAATGGGTGGGCAAGTGAGTGGGTGAGTGAGCGGGCGAGTGAGCGGGCGAGTGAGTGAGTGGGTGTATGGGTGGGTGGGCAAGTGGGTGGGTGGGTGAGTGGGTGGGTGAGTGGGTGGGTGAGTGAGTGGGTGAATGGGTGGACGAGTGAGTGGGTGAGTGAGTGGGTGAGTGGGGGGGGTGGGTGAGTGGGTGGGTGAGTGGGTGGGGGGGTGGGTGCGTGAGTGGGTGGGTGGGTGAGTGGGTGGGTGAGTGGGTGAATGGGTGGACGAGTGAGTGAGTGAGTGGGTGGGTGAGTGGGTGAGTGGGTGAGCGAGTGGGTGTGTGGGTGAGTGGGTGGTTGGTTGGGTGAGTGGGTGAGAGCTACCCTCAGCGAAGTGGGCGAGTGAGTATCCGTCACCCCCCGCCCGCTCCCCGCCGTTGAGGGCGACGATGGCGGCGTCTACGGCTTGCACGAGCTCCTCGCGGCGGTCGCGACGGAGAGGCCGCTCCTCAGGGTGGCGCGTCAGCCCCGTCTCCAGCTGGTACACCTGGCGCAGTGAGTGACTCAGTGAGTGACTCAGTGAGTGACTCAGTGAGTGAGTGAGCGAGTGACTGAGCGAGTGAGCGGGTGACTGAGTGGGTGACTGAGTGGGTGACTGAGTGACTGACTGAGTGAGTGAGTTACTGAGTGAATGACTGAGTGGGTGACTAAGTGAGTGAATGAGTGAGAGAGGGACTGAGTGAGTGACTGAGTGAGTGACTGACTGAGTGACTGAGTGAGTGAATGAGTGAGAGAGGGACTGAGTGAGTGACTGAGTGAGTGACTGACTGAGTGACTGAGTGAGTGACTGAGTGACTGAGTGAGTGAATGACTGAGTGAGTGAGTGACTGAGCGAGTGACTGACTGAGCGAGTGACTGAGCGAGTGACTGAGTGAGTGACTGAGTGAGTGACTGACTGAGTGAGTGACTGAGTAAGTGACTGACTGAGCGAGCGGTGCACCACCTTGTGTGCAGTAAAGCTGTCGTAGGGGATGACCGCGTACTCGCTGGAGTAGCGCCCCCCCCACAGAACCTCCGCGCGCTCGGCCTGCGACGTCAGGAAAGCCTGCAGGCTCGCCTGGCCGCCCGGGCCCGAGGCATCCACGGGAGCGGGGGGAGCGGCTTGGGCCGCCTCCCCCCCCACCACGGAGGCCCCGCCCACCACGGCGGAGGCCCCGCCCACCACGGCAGAGGCCCCGCCCAACACGGCGGAGGCCCCGCCCACCACAGCACCCTGCAGGGTCTTCAGCTGTTCCGTGCGGTGGTGGAGCTCGGACTGGGGAGAGGGGTGGGTGGGTGAGTGAGTGGGTGGAGGGGTGGGTGGGTGAGTGGGTGAGTGGGTGGGTGGGTGGGTGAGTGGATGGGTGGGTGAGTGGATGGGTGGGTGAGTGGATGGGTGAGTGAGTGGGTGGAGGGGTGGATGGGTGAGTGGATGGATGGGTGGGTGAGTGGGTGGGTGGGTGAGTGAGTGGGTGAGTGGATGGGTGAGTGAGTGGGTGGGTGAGTGGGTGGGTGAGTGGGTGGAGGGGTGGGTGAGTGGGTGAGTGGGTGGAAGGGGTGGGTGAGTGGATGGGTGAGTGGGTGGAGGGGTGGGTGAGTGGGTGAGTGGGTGGAAGGGGTGGGTGAGTGAATGAGTGGGTGGGTGAGTGGGTGCATGGGTAATTGGGCATATGGGTGATGATGATGGTGGTGATGGTGGTGATGGTGGTGATGGTTGTGATGATGGTGGTGAGGGTGGTGGTGATGATGGTGGTGAGGGTGGTGGTGATGATGGTGGTGAGGGTGGTGAGGCTGGTGGTGAGGCTGGTGAGGGTGATGATGGTGATGATGCTGGTGATGATGGTGGTGATGATGGTGGTGAGGCTGGTGAGGGTGAGGCTGGTGGTGAGGGTGGTGAGGGTGGTGGTGCTGGTGGTGAGGCTGGTGAGGGTGATGATGGTGATGATGCTGGTGATGATGGTGGTGATGATGGTGGTGAGGCTGGTGAGGGTGATGATGGTGATGATGCTGGTGATGATGGTGGTGATGATGGTGGTGAGGCTGGTGAGGGTGATGATGGTGGTGATGATGGTGGTGAGGCTGGTGAGGCTGGTGAGGGTGGTGAGGCTGGTGGTGAGGCTGGTAAGGCTGGTGGTGAGGCTGGTTAGGCTGGTGAGGGTGGTGGTGAGGGTGGAGAGGGTGAGGCTGGTGGTGAGGCTGGTGAGGCTGGTGAGGCTGGTGAGGGTGGTGAGGCTGGTGAGGGTGGTGAGGTTGGTGAGGCTGGTGGTGAGGGTGGTTAGGCTGGTGAGGCTGGTGAGGGTGGTGAGGGGTGCTCACCTTGAGCTGCTGGAGCTGTTTGCGTAGCACCTGCAGCTGGCCCCGGTGCTGTGCCGCCTGCTCCACCAGCTCGGCCTGGTGCTGCCCCAGGCCTGCCTCTCGCCTGAGCCCCACCACCGCCTCCGAGACACGGGGGGCAGACTCCTCGGCTGGGGGTGGGGGGTAGGTGGGGGGTAGGTGGGGGTAGGTGGGGGGTGGGTAGGTGGGGGGTAGGTGGGGGGGGCTAGGTGGGGGGTAGGTGGGGGTGGTAGGTGGGGGGTGGGTGGGTAGGTGGGGGGTAGGTGGGGGGGGGGTAGGTGGGGGGTAGGTGGGGGGGGTAGGTGGGGGGGTAGGTGGGGGTAGGTGGGGGGGTAGGTGGGGGGGTAGGTGGGGGGGGTAGGTGGGGGGGGTAGGTGGGGGTAGGTGGGGGGTGGGGTAGGTGGGGGGTGGGGTAGGTGGGGGTAGGTGGGGGGGGGTAGGTGGGGGGTAGGTGGGGGTGGTAGGTGGGGGGTGGGTGGGTAGGTGGGGGGTAGGTGGGGGGGGGTAGGTGGGGGGTAGGTGGGGGGGGTAGGTGGGGGGGTAGGTGGGGGTAGGTGGGGGGGTAGGTGGGGGGGTAGGTGGGGGGGGTAGGTGGGGGGGGTAGGTGGGGGTAGGTGGGGGGTGGGGTAGGTGGGGGGTGGGGTAGGTGGGGGTAGGTGGGGGGGGTAGGTGGGGGGGTTAGGTGGGGGGGTAGGTGGGGGGGGTAGGTGGGGGGGGTAGGTGGGGGGGGTAGGTGGGGGTAGGTGGGGGGGGGTAGGTGGGGGGGGTAGGTGGGGGGGGTAGGTGGGGGGGGTAGGTGGGGGGGGTAGGTGGGGGGGGGTAGGTGGGGGTAGGTGGGGGGTGGGGTAGGTGGGGGGGGTAGGTGGGGGTAGGTGGGGGGGTAGGTGGGGGTAGGTGGGGGGGGGTAGAGAGGATAGTTGGTGTAGTGGGTAGGGGTGCATTCAGTCACAAAGACAAAGATCCCCCGTGTCGCCTCTAGCAGGCTGCAGGGGCAAGTGCTGTCAGTCACCCACAATGATTTAGGCCACGCCCACCGTGGTCTAGGCCACGCCCACAATTGTTTAGGCCACGCCCGCCGTGGTTTAGGTCACACCCACCGTGGTTTAGACCACTCCCACCGTGGTTTAGGCCACGCCCACCGTGGTTTAGGCCACACCCACAACAGTATAGGCCACGCCCACAACTGTCTAGGCCACGCCCACAATGGTTTAGGCCACACCCACCGTGGTTTAGGCCACACCCCAGCGTGTGCAGCAGCCAGAGCAGAGCTGCTACCGCGAGGCAGGCGCCAGGCACGAGGCGCCTCGGCCAATGGGAGAGCAGCTTGCGGGTCACCATGGCGACGGGCGGCCAATCAGGCGCGGCCCTGCGGGGGGGGGGGGGGGGAGACAGAGGCGATTTGAGACAGAGCCCTGTGAGACCCATTGATTAACACTGAACACCATTGATTAACACCGAACCCCATTGATTATTACCGAGAACCATTGATTAACACTGAGACCCATTGATTAACACCGAACCCCATTGATTAACACCGAGACCCATTGATTATCACCGAGAACCATTGATTAACACTGAGACCCATTGATTAACACTGAGACCCATTGATTAACACAGAACCTCATTGATTAACACCGAACCCCATTGATTAACACTGAGCCCCATTGATCAACACTGAACCACATTGATTAACACTGAGACCCATTGATTAACACTGAGCCCCATTGATCAACACTGAACCACTTTGATTAACACTGAGACCCATTGATTATCACCGAACCCCATTGATTAACACCGAACCCCATTGATTAACTCTGAACCCCATTGATCAACACTGAACCACATTGATTAACATTGAACCCTGTGGTGAGTTGAGGCCCCATTGATTAACACTGTTGACCCAATAGTGATGCTACCCGCTGACAACATGGGGAGTGCGTAAACACATTCTTGCTGCGGAGGGAGCTGGTAGGAACACGTTGGGTTGCTCGGTCAATGGCCTGTAGGGTCAACGGCGGCGTGGTGGATTCCACAAATATGCCCGACTGCGAGGGCGGGCACAAGCCGGCGTGAGTAGGTTAAACGTTGAGGTTTATAAGGGCACCACGGGGTGACCAGCCCCTCCCCACACAGCCCCACCCCTCCCCACCCAGCCCCTCCCCACCCAGCCCCTCCCCACCCTCCCCTCTCCACCCAGCCCGACCCCTCCCATTTTTGGATGCACGACGGACGGACACAATAATCCCATTTGGGCTGGTGTAACCAGGAGGTTCCTACCAGTATAACACCTCTACAGTATAGTGAAAGGTTTTTACCCTTTCAACTGGTACAAAAACTGACACCTTTATACAAGGCATCATGTTTGCAATAACCGCAACACAAGCAGTCAAAATTTTACGAGTAGTAGTAGTATTTGTAGTAGTTGTAGTATTTGAGTATTTGTAGTATTTGAGTAGTTGTAGTATTTGAGTAGTTGTAGTATTTATAGTATTTGAGTATTTGTAGTATTTGTAGTATTTGAGTATTTGTAGTATTTGTAGTATTTGAGTGACCTCACCTCTGCTGGTAGTGGTGAGGTCACATCTGGGGCGGTGAGTTCAGAGTTGAGCTTCGGTGACCTGGTGTCAGAGGTCAACCATCACCACCATCATCACCACCACCATCACCACCACCACCATCATCATCATCACCACCATCATCATCATCACCACCGCCACCATCACCACCATCACCACCACCATCATCATCATCACCACCACCATCATCATCATCACCACCATCATCATCATCATCACCACCACCATCATCATCATCACCACCATCATCATCACCACCACCACCATCATCATCATCACCACCACCATCATCACCACCACCATCACCACCATCACCACCACCACCATCATCATCACCACCATCATCATCATCACCACTACCACCACCATCATCATCACCACCACCACCATCATCATCATCACCACCACCACCATCAGCAACAGCAACAGCACCACCACCATCACCACCACCATCACCACCACCACCACCATCACCACCACCATCACCACCACCATCACCACCACCACCACCATCATCACCATCATCACCATCACCACCATCACCACCACCATCACCACCACCATCACCACCACCATCATCATCACCACCACCACCATCATCATCATCATCACCACCATCATCATCATCACCACCACCACCATCATCATCATCACCACCACCACCATCAGCAACAGCACCACCACCATCACCACCACCATCATCATCATCACCACCATCACCATCACCACCATCACCACCATTACCACCATCACCACCACCATCACCACCATCACCACCACCACCACCATCATCACCATCATCACCATCACCACCATCACCACCACCATCACCACCACCATCACCACCACAGCCACCATCACCACCACCATCACCACCACCATATTATATCACTAATATGCAGAATCGGTGCATTACACACACACGAACACACACAAACACTGACACACACACGAACACACACAGACACTGACACACACACTACACACACACATAGACACATATTTGTCAGTGTGTGTGTTGTTGTAGTGTATCTGTCAGTGTCTGTGTGTCAGTATCAATGTGTGTGTACAAGTGTCTGTTTTTTTGTACACGTGTGTGTTGTACACGTGTGTGTGTGTACACGTCTGTGTGTGTACACGTGTGTTTGTGTACACGTGTGTGTGTGTACCCGTGTCTGTGTGTGTACACGTGTCTGTGTTTGTGTGTGTGCACTTGGCAGTGTGTGTGTGTCTGTGTGTACTTGCCCCTAGAGTCAGTTGAGGCTACAAGGGTGATCTTTGTCTTAGTACTGTACGTGCAGAGTTTGACATGTGGGTGGTACGTGGAGATTACGCAAACTCGGGACAGATGCCTCAGTGTGTGGGGCAGTGCTGAGTCTGTGGGTAGCAGTGTTGAGTCAATGGGCAGTGTTGAGTCTATGGGCAGTGTTGAGTCTATGGGCAGTGTTGAGTCAATGGGCAGTGTTGAGTCAATGGGCAGTGTTGAGTCTATGGGCAGTGTTGAGTCTATGGGCAGTGTTGAGTCAATGGGCAGTGTTGAGTCAATGGGCAGTTTTGAGTCTATGGGGCAGTGTTGAGTCTATGGTGCAGTGTTGAGTCAATGGGCAGTGTTGAGTCTATGGGCAGTGTTGAGTCTATGGGCAGTGTTGAGTCTATGAGTAGTGCTGAGTCTATGGGCAGTGTTGAGTCTATGGTGCAGTGTTGAGTCTATGGGTAGTGTTGAGTCTATGGGTAGTGCTGAGTCTATGGGCAGTGTTGAGTCAATGGGCAGTGCTGAGTCTGTGGGTAGTGATGAGTCTATGGGCAGTGTTGAGTCAATGGGCAGTGCTGAGTCTGTGGGTAGCAGTGTTGAGTCTATGGGCAGTGTTGAGTCTATGGGCAGTGTTGAGTCTATGGTGCAGTGTTAAGTCTATGGGCAGTGTTGAATCTATGGGTAGTGTTGAGTCTATGGTGCAGTGTTGAGTCAATGGGCAGTGTTGAGTCAATGGGCAGTGCTGAGTCTATGGGTAGTGTTGAGTCTATGGGCAGTGTTGAGTCTATGGGCAGTGTTGAGTCAATGGGCAGTGTTGAGTCAATGGGCAGTGCTGAGTCTGTGGGTAGCAGTGTTGAGTCTATGGGCAGTGTTGAGTCTATGGGCAGTGTTGAGTCTATGGTGCAGTGTTAAGTCTATGGGCAGTGTTGAATCTATGGGTAGTGTTGAGTCTATGGTGCAGTGTTGAGTCAATGGGCAGTGTTGAGTCAATGGGCAGTGCTGAGTCTATGGGTAGTGTTGAGTCTATGGGCAGTGTTGAGTCAATGGGCAGTGTTGAGTCTATGGGCAGTGTTGAGTCTATGGGCAGTGTTGAGTCTATGAGCAGTGTTGAGTCAATGGGTTGTGTTGAATCTATGGGCAGTGTTGAGTCTATGGTGCAGTGTTGAGTCTATGGGCAGTGTTGAGTCTATGGGCAGTGTTGAGTCTATGGTGCAGTGCTGAGTCTATGGTGCAGTGTTGAGTCTATGGGCAGTGTTGAGTCTATGGGCAGTGTTGAGTCTATGGGGCAGTGTTGAATATATGGGTAGTGATGAGTCTATGGTGCAGTGTTGAGTCTATGGGGCAGTGTTGAGTCTATGGTGCAGTGTTGAGTCTATGGTGCAGTGTTGAGTCTATGGGGCAGTGTTGAGTCTATGGTGCAGTGTTGAGTCTATGGGGTAGTGTTGAGTCTATGGTGCAGTGTTGAGTCTATGGGGCAGTGTTGAGTCTATGGTGCAGTGTTGAGTCTATGGGTGACAGTGTTGAGTCTATGGGCAGTGTTGAGTCTATGGGCAGTGGTGAGTCTATGGGAAGTGTTGAGTCTATGGGCAGTGTTGAGTCAATGGGCAGTGTTGAGTCTATGGGCAGTGTTGAGTCTATGGGGCAGTGTTGAGTCTATGGGGCAGTATTGATTCTATGGGCAGTGTTGAGTCTATGGGCAGTGTTGAGTCTATGGGCAGTGCTGAGTCTATGGGCAGTGTTGAGTCTATGGGCAGTGATGAGTCTATGGTGCAGTGTTGAGTCTATGGTGCAGTGTTGAGTCTATGGTGCAGTGCTGAGTCTATGGGTGACAGTGTTGAGTCAATGGGCAGTGATGAGTCTATGGGCAGTGTTGAGTCTATGGTGCAGTGATGAGTCTATGGGCAGTGATGAGTCTATGGTGCAGTGTTGAGTCTATGGTGCAGTGTTGAGTCTATGGTGCAGTGCTGAGTCTATGGGTGACAGTGTTGAGTCAATGGGCAGTGATGAGTCTATGGGCAGTGTTGAGTCTATGGGCAGTGATGAGTCTATGGGCAGTGCTGAGTCTATGGGCAGTGCTGAGTCTATGGTGCAGTGATGAGTCTATGGGCAGTGCTGAGTCTATGGTGCAGTGATGAGTCTATGGGCAGTGTTTAGTCTATGGGCAGTGTTGAGTCTATGGGCAGTGTAGAGTCTATGGGCAGTGATGAGTCTATGGTGCAGTGATGAGTCTATGGTGCAGTGTTGAGTCTATGGTGCAGTGTTGAGTCTATGGGTGACAGTGCTGAGTCTATGGGCAGTGTTGAGTCTATGGGCAGTGTTGAGTCTATGGGTAGCAGTGTTGAGTCTATAGGTAGTGTTGAGTCTATGGGCAGTGTTGAGTCTATGGGCAGTGTTGAGTCTGTGGTTCAGTGTTGAGTCTATGGGCAGTGTTGAGTCTATGGGTAGTGTTGAGTCTATGGGGCAGTGTTGAGTCTATGGGGCAGTGTTGAGTCTATGGGTGACAGTGTTGAGTCTATGGTGCAGTGTAGAGTCTATGGGTGACAGTGTTGAGTCTATGGTGCAGTGTTGAGTCTATGGGGCAGTGTTGAGTCTATGGGTAGTGTTGAGTCTATGGGCAGTGTTGAGTCTATGGGTGACAGTGTTGAGTCTATGGTGCAGTGTAGAGTCTATGGGCAGTGTTGAATCTATGGGCAGTGTTGAGTCTATGGGTGACAGTGTTGAGTCTATGGTGCAGTGTTGAGTCTATGGGGCAGTGTTGAGTCTATGGGTAGTGTTGAGTCTATGGGCAGTGTTGAGTCTATGGGTGACAGTGTTGAGTCTATGGGGAGTGTTGAGTCTATGGGGCAGTGTTGAGTCTATGGGTGACAGTGTTGAGTCTATGGGTGACAGTGTTGAGTCTATGGGCAGTGTTGAGTCTATGGGTGACAGTGTTGAGTCTATGGTACAGTGTTGAGTCTATGGTGCAGTGTTGAGTCTATGGGTGACAGTGTTGAGTCTATGGGTGACAGTGCTGAGTCTATGGGTGACAGTGTTGAGTCTATGGGTGACAGTGCTGAGTCTATGGGGGCAGTGTTGAGTCTATGGGCAGTAAGTGTTGAGTCTATGGGCAGTGTTGAGTCTATGGGTGACAGTGTTGAGTCTATGGTGCAGTGTTGAGTCTATGGGGCAGTGTTGAGTCTATGGGCAGTGAGTGTTGAGTCTATGGGGCAGTGTTGAGTCTATGGGCAGTGCTGAGTCTATGGGGCAGTGTTGAGTCTATGGGCAGTGTTGAGTCTATGGGCAGTGTTGAGTCTATGGGTAGTGTTGAGTCTATGGGTGACAGTGCTGAGTCTATGGGTGACAGTGTTGAGTCTATGGGTGACAGTGCTGAGTCTATGGGGCAGTGTTGAGTCTATGGGCAGTAAGTGTTGAGTCTATGGGTGACAGTGTTGAGTCTATGGGTGACAGTGTTGAGTCTATGGGTGACAGTGCTGAGTCTATGGGGCAGTGTTGAGTCTATGGGCAGTAAGTGTTGAGTCTATGGGTGACAGTGTTGAGTCTATGGGTGACAGTGCTGAGTCTATGGGGCAGTGTTGAGTCTATGGTGCAGTGTTGAGTCTATGGGTGACAGTGCTGAGTCTGTGTGTTGCGTGTACTATCGATTGCACCACCACCACCCCGAGCCTCCTATCTCGCCCGAGGCTCCTGGCCAACCCGAGGGCCCCACCCAGCGCCCCCCCGCCACCTCCCCAACGCCCAGCGGCCCCCCACTGACCTGAGTGGTGAAGTATGGCGGTGGCGAGACAGCGAGCAGTAGATAGAGCGTGCCGCTCATAGCGGCCACTTCACAAACGCGCTGCGTTTCTCGATCCTCCGTCTGGGATCCCGTAGGGGGCGGGGCCTAGCGGGGGGGAGGGGCGGGGTTGGTGGGGAGGGAGAAGTGGGCGGGGCGATGAGGATAAGGGGGAGGGGCGAAGGGGGAGGGAGGGCGGGCGCGAGGGCGGAGTTGGTGGGGAGGGGGCGGTGGGCGGGGCGATCGGGATAAAGGGGGCGGGGCGAAGCAGAAGGAGGGACGGGTGATGGGGAGGGGCGACAGCATAAGGGGCGGGGCGAATGAGTAGGGGGCGGGGCTATGCAAATGAGCAGACGGTTGAACGGGGGGGGTGAGGGGCGTGGCTAATGAACTTGGGGGGGGGGGCTGTCTTATGGGCGGGGCGATCGCGCCGTAGGGAGTGCGGCGAGAATCGGAGATGGGGACGAGGCGGGCCGAGGGGTGAGACGCGTCGCTAAGTGGACGTGTCTCTGTATGCCAAGTCAGGACAACATCGAAGCCCATTGGCTGCCCGTGTCTCATTAACATAATTTATTAAAGCACGTGACCGCAGGGAGATTGACGTTGGAAACGAAGCGGGTGGGGTTCTGGGTAGAGCGGTGGAATCGCTCCGCCATGTTGGGTAGGGAAACCGCCACTGGCAAAGCAATGGACGGCATCGCGCCATGTTGGTTAGGGAGACAGCCATTGTCAATACATTGGAGGGCATTGCCGCCATGTTGGTTAGGGGGACCGCTATTGTCAAAGCATTGGACGGTATCTCCGCCACATTGGCAAAAAGCGATTGTCAATGCATTGGAGGGCATTCCCGCCATGTTTGGTAGGGCGGCCACCACATTTCGATAGATAGAGCGCCGCCATGTTGGGTAGGGAGTGCCGCTATTGGATCGCCGCCATATTGGGTAGGCGGGGTGCCGCTTGTTAATCCGTTGGATGGCATCGCCGCCATATTGGGTAGGGGGGGGGCCTCCTTTATCAAACCATTGGATGGCATCGCCGCCATGTTGGGTAGGGGGGGCCTCCTTTATCAAACCATTGGAGGGCCTCGCCGCCATATTGGGTAGGGGGGGCCTCCTTTATCAAACCATTGGATGGCATCGCCGCCATATTGGGTAGGGGGGGCCTCCTTTATCAAACCATTGGAGGGCGTCGCCGCCATGTTGGGTAGGGGGGCCTCCTTTATCAAACCATTGGAGGGCGTCGCCGCCATGTTGGGTAGGGGGGCCTCCTTTATCAAACCATTGGAGGGCGTCGCCGCCATGTTGGGTAGGGGGTGCCGCCTTTATCAATCCAATGGAGGGCATAGCCGCCATGTTGGGTAGGGGCGGGTGGGGGGCACCGCCATTGGAGGGCGGGGCTTGCCGCCAGTGACGTCACCGCCATTGAGGAACAGAATCCGAGGTACGATCCTGTCGATTGATATTCGATTAAAGTGACGAGTTAAAGACACAAGATGTCTCAGGCTCACAATCATCACTGGGGGAGAGACAAAGGCGGCCGGGCGTGCTGGTGCTGGCCACACCACCCCCTCTGTGTATAGCCACAGTGTCGGTAGCCTTCATAGGTGCTGCTGCTACTAACAGCACTTGCCCCTACAGCCTGCTAGAGGCTACACGGGGGAGCTTTGTTTGTGTGTAGGTGCTACTAACAGCACTTGCCCCTATAGCCTTCTAGAGGCTACCTGGGGGATCTTTGTCTGTGTGTAGGTGCTACTAACAGCACTTGCCCCTACAGCCTGCTAGAGGCTACACGGGGGAGCTTTGTTTGTGTGTAGGTGCTACTAACAGCACTTGCCCCTACAGCCTGCTAGAGGCTACCTGGGGGATCTTTGTCTGTGTGTAGGTGCTACTAACAGCACTTGCCCCTACAGCCTGCTAGAGGCTACACGGGGGAGCTTTGTTTGTGTGTAGGTGCTACTAACAGCACTTGCCCCTATAGCCTGCTAGAGGCTACCTGGGGGATCTTTGTCTGTGTGTAGGTGCTACTAACAGCACTTGCCCCTACAGCCTGCTAGAGGCTACACGGGGGATCTTTGTCTGTGTATAGGTGCTACTACTAACAGCACTTGCCCCTACAGCCTGCTAGAGGCTACACGGGGGAGCTTTGTCTGTGTGTAGGTGCTACTAGCAGCACTTGCCCCTACAGCCTGCTAGAGGCTACCTGGGGAGCTTTGTCTGTGTCTGTGTGTTGGCATAGTAGGTGGCACAGGTGGTGCATCAGCCAGTCATCTCGGTCATCTCAGTCAGTGATCCGTGGCACCTGCTGGGTCTACCCCGTGACCTCCTGCCAGCGGGCGTTCGACACTTCACGTGGCCTCAAGGTGCACTTGGCCTGGCACAAGCGTCGTGGTGACGTCACCGCCACTTCGTGGCGAATGGCGGTTGTTGTTGTTGTGTGTGTGTCTGTGTGTGTGTGAGTGTGTGTGAGTGTGTGTCTGTGTGTGTCTGTGTGTGTGTCTGTTTGTGTGTCTGTGTGTGTTTGTGTGTCTGTGTGTGTGTCTGTGTGTGTGTGAGTGTGTGTCTGTGTGTCTGTGTGTGTGTGTCTGTATGTGTGTCTGTGTGTGTGAGTGGTAGTGTAGTGGTTAGCGCTGCGCTACGAATCCTTTGACCCGAGTTCGATTCCCACTCACGGCCACCATCAGTGACGATTATCTGAACCGGTCCTGGGCCTCCTCTAGGTCGACTCAGCCTCAAATGAGTACCTGGCGCCATGTGTAAACATCGCCGCTAGGGAGACAAAAGCGGTCGGGCGTGGTGCTGGCCACCCACCCCCTCGTGTGCCATCCCACCCTTCACAGGTGCCGCTCGCTAACAGCACTTGCCCCTACAGTCTGCTAAGGCTACACGGGGGACCTTTGTCTGTGTCTTTGTCAGGCTGCATGGAGGTGATGGGGCCTGCCGCTCTGCTCATCCTGTCCCTCGCCTGGATCACGGCCACGTGGCCTCCACTCACGCAGAGCGCCGGTGAGGGTTACCCCGTGGCCGTGTTGTTACCACGGTAACCGCGGTCTCCACGGTAACCGCTGTCTCCACGGTAACCGCTGTCTCCATGGTAACCGCGATCTCCACGGTATCCTCAGTCTCCACGGTAACCTCATTCTCCACGGTAACCTCGGTCTCCACGGTTACCTCAGTCTGCACGGTAACCTCAGTCTCCATGGTAACCTCGGTCTCCACGGTAACCTCAGTCTCCACGGTGACCGCGGTCTCCACGGTAACCTCAGTCTCTACAGTAACCTCGGTCTCCACGGTAACCTCGGTCTCCATAGTAACCGTGGTCTCCACGGTAACCTCAGTCTCTACAGTAACCTCGGTCTCCACGGTAACCTCGGTCTCCACGGTAACCTCAATCTCCACGGTAACCTCGGTCTCCATGGTAACCTCGGTCTCAACAGTAACCTCAATCTCCACGGTAACCTCGGTCTCCATGGTAACCGTGGTCTCCACGGTAACCTCAGTCTCTACAGTAACCTCGGTCTCCACGGTAACCTCGGTCTCCACGGTAACCTCAATCTCCACGGTAACCTCAGTCTCTACAGTAACCTCGGTCTCCACGGTAACCTCGGTCTCCACGGTATCCTCAGTCTCCACGGTAACCTCAGTCTCCATGGTAACCGTTATCCCTCCGCGTGTATCCCAGAGTTGCTGGGCGGTGCGCAGCTGGAGCACGCGGAGCTCGCGGTGCACAACGAGCTGAAGCAGCCGCTCACCCTCACCTGGGTCTCTAGCGACTGCTTCCAGGTGAACTCAACAACTACTCACCACTCACTCACCAACTACTCATCCACTACTCACCACTCACTCACCACCCACTCACCACCTACTCACCACCCACTCACCACTCACTCACCACTCTCTCACCAACTACTCACCACCTACTACTCACCACCTACAACTCACCACCTACTCACAAACTACTTACTCACTCACCAACTACTCACCACTCACCCTCACCTGGGTCTCTAGCGACTGCTTCCAGGTGAACTCACCAACTACTCACCACCCACTCACCACTCACTCACCACTCACTCACCAACTACTCACCACCTACTACTCACCACCTACAACTCACCACCTACTCACAAACTACTTACTCACTCACCAACTACTCACCACTCACCCTCACCTGGGTCTCTAGCGACTGCTTCCAGGTGAACTCAACAACTACTCACCAACTACTCACCACTCACTCACCAAGTACTCACCAACTTACTCACCACCCACTACTCACCACCCACTCACCAACTACTCACCAACTACTCACCACTCACTCACCACTCACTCACCACCCACTCACCAACTACTCACCAACTACTCACCAACTACTCACCACTCACTCACCACTCACTCACCACTCACTCACCAACTACTCACCGCTCACCCTCACCTGGGTCTCTAGCGACTGCTTCCAGGTGAACTCAACAACTACTCACCCCCTACTCACCACCTACTCACCACTCACTCACCACTCACTCACCACCCACTCACCAACTACTCACCGCTCACCCTCACCTGGGTCTCTAGCGACTGCTTCCAGGTGAACTCACCAACTACTCACCACTCACTCACCAACTACTCACCACTCACTCACCAACTACTCATCCACTACTCACCACTCACTCACCACCCACTCACCAACTACTCACCACTCACTCACCAACTACTCATCCACTACTCACCACTCACTCACCACCCACTCACCACTCACTCACCACTCACTCACCAACTACTCACCACCTACTACTCACCACCTACACACAAACTACTTACTCACTCACCAACTACTCACCACTCACCCTCACCTGGGTCTCTAGCGACTGCTTCCAGGTGAACTCAACAACTACTCACCAACTACTCACCACTCACTCACCAAGTACTCACCACCTACTACTCACCACCTACTACTCACCAACTACTCACCCACTACTCACCACCTACTCACCACTCACTCACCACTCACTCACCACCCACTCACCAACTACTCACCAACTACTCACCAACTACTCACCACTCACTCACCACTCACTCACCAACTACTCACCGCTCACCCTCACCTGGGTCTCCAGCGACTGCTTCCAGGTGAACTCAACAACTACTCACCAACTACTCACCACTCACTCACCACCCACTCACCACTCACTCACCACTCACCACCTACTCACCAACTACTCACCACTCACTCACCGCTCACTCTCACCTGGGTCTCTAGCGACTGCTTCCAGGTGAACTCAACAACTACTCACCACTCACTCACCACTCACTCACCACCTACTCACCAACTACTCACAAACTACTTACTCACCACTCACTCACCTACTCACCCACTCACCACCCACTCACCAACTACTCACCACCTACTCACCACCCACTCACCAACTACTACTCACCACCAACTACTCAACAACTACTCACCCACCACCCACTCCTCACCAACTACTTACCAACTACTCACCACCTACTCACCACCCGCTCCTCACCACCCACTTACTCACCAACTACTCCTCACCACCCACTCCTTGCCAACTCACCACCCACTACTCACCACCCACTCCTCACCAACTACTCACCAACTACTCACCACCCACTCCTCACCACTCACTCCTCACCAACTTACCACCCACTCCTCACCACCCACTCCTCACCACGCACTCCTCACCACCCACTCACCACCCACTCATCACCCCCTCCTCACCAACTACTCACCCACTCCTCACCACTCACCAACGACTCACTGACGACTCAACGACTCACCAATTCATGTGACCTCACCTCACCCAGCCCGTGACCCCTGCGTGACCCCTGCATGACCTCTGCGTGACCTCTGCGTGACCCCTGCGTGACCCCTGCCCGTGACCCCTGCAGTGCGTGCCCCGGGCCCTGGCTGAGTGTGTGGGTGGGCGAGTGAGCCGGGTGGCCGTGGACTCCACTCACGCCGGCACACTGGCGCTGGTGAGCAGTGGTGGTGAGCTGTGCCGGTGAGTGAGTGGGTGAGTGGGTGGGTGGGTGGTGGGTGGGTGAGTGGGTGGGTGGGTGGGGGGGTGGGTGGGGGGGTGGGTGGGTGGGGGGGTGGGTGGGGGGGTGGGTGAGTGGGTGGGTGAGTGGGTGGGTGGGTTGGTGGGTGAGTGGGTGGGTGGGTGAGTGGGGGGTGGGGGAGTGAGTGGGTGGGGGGGTGGGTGGGTGGGTGAGTGGGTGGGTGGGTGTGTGGGTGGGTGGGTGTGTGGGTGGGTGGGTGAGTGGGTGGGTGAGTGGGTGGGTGAGTGGGTGGGTGAGTGGGTGAGAGGGTGGGTGGGTGAGTGGGTGGGTGGGTGAGTGGGTGGGTGGGTGAGTGGGGGGGTGGGTGAGTGAGTGGGTGGGGGGGTGGGTGGGTGGGTGCGTGAGTGGGTGAGTGGGTGGGTGAGTGGGTGGGTGGGTGAGTGGGTGGGTGAGTGGGTGGGTGGGTGAGTGGGTGGGTGGGTGAGTGGGGGGGTGGGTGAGTGGGTGGGTGAGTAGGTGGGTGGGTGAGTGGGTGGGTGGGTGAGTGGGTGAGTAGGTGGGTGAGTGGGTGGGTGGGTGGGTGAGTGGGTGGGTGAGTGGGTGGGTGGGTGAGTGGGTGGGGGGGTGAGTGAGTGGGTGGGTGGGTGGGTGAGTGGGTGGGTGAGTGGGTGGGTGGGTGAGTGGGTGAGTGGGTGGGTGAGTGAGTGGGGGGGTGGGTCAGTGGGTGGGTGAGTGGGGGGGTGGGTGTGTGGGTGGGTGGGTGAGTGGGTGGGTGGGTGGGTGAGTGAGTGAGTGGGTGGCTGAGTGAGTGAGTGGGTGGGTGAGTGGGTGGGTGGGTGAGTGGGTGTGTGAGTGGGTGGGTGAGTGGGTGGGTGGGTGAGTCAGTGTGTAGGTTTGTGGTATGACGTGTGGTGATGGTGGTGATGTTGATGATGGTGGTGATGGTGGTGATGTTGGTGGTGATGTTGGTGATGTTGCAGGATGGATGTGTGGCTGGGCGAGCTGGGGGAGTTTTCGCTGCGTGTGGAGCGCGGAAACCTCTCCAGCAACGCCACCTGCGGCCCCATCACCACCACGCGGGCACCCGTCAACTCATCGCTACGTAAGGCCCCATCACCACCATCACCACCATCATCATCATCACCATCACCACCATCACCATCACCACCATCACCACCATCACCACCATCACCATCACCACCATTACCATCATCTCCATCACCACCATCACCACCATCACCACCATCACCACCATCACCATCACCACCATCACCATCACCACCATCACCACCATCACCATCACCACCATCACCACCATCACCACCATCACCACCATCACCATCACCACCATTACCATCATCTCCATCATCACTATCATCACCATCACCACCATCACCATCACCACCATCACCACCACCATCACCATCATCACCACCATCACCATCACCACCATCACCATCACCACCATCACCACCATCACCACCATCACCATCACCACCATCACCATCATCACCATCACCACCATCACCATCATCACCATCACCACCATCACCATCACCACCATCACCACCATCACCACCATCACCATCACCATCACCACCATCACCACCATCACCATCACCACCATCACCACCATCACCACCACCACCATCACCACCATCACCATCACCACCATCACCACCATCACCACCACGCGGGCACCCGTCAACTCATCGCTACGTAAGGCCCCATGATGTTGTGTGATGGTGTTGGTGATGTTGGTGATGGTGGTGATGATGGTGATGATGGTGGTGATGTTGGTGATGATGTTGGTGATGTTGGTGGTGATGATGGTGATGCTGGTGATGTTGGTGATGGTGATGTTGGTGATGTTGGTGATGTTGGTGATGTTGGTGGTGATGTTGGTGATGTTGGTGATGTTGGTGATGATGTTGGTGACGTTGGTGATGTTGTGTGATGTTGGTGATGGTGATGTTGGTGATGTGTGATAGTGGTGATATTGGTGATGATGGTGGTGGTGGTGGTGATGTTGGTGATGTTGGTGATGATGTTGGTGATGTTGGTGATGATGTTGGTGATGTTGGTGATGTTGTGTGATGATGTTGGTGATGTTGGTGATGATGTTGGTGATGTTGGTGATGATGTTGGTGATGATGTTGGTGATGTTGGTGATGATGTTGGTGATGTTGGTGATGTTGGTAATGTTGGTGATGATGGTGGTGATGTTGGTGATGATGTTGGTGATGTTGGTGATGATGTTGGTGGTGTTGTTGGTGATGTTGGTGATGTTGTGTGATGTGCAGCTGTCCTCATTGCTGCCGGCGTTCTGCTGCTGCTGTCGATTCTCTTCCCACTGAGTGGGTGGGTACTCAGGTGGGTGGTGGGGGGGGGTGTCTGTGTGTGTGTCTCTGTGTGTGTGTCTCTGTGTGTGTGTGTGTCTCTGTGTGTGTGTGTGTCTCTGTGTGTGTCTCTGTGTGTGTGTCTGTGTGTGTGTGTCTGTGTGTGTGTGTGTCTCTGTGTGTGTGTGTGTCTGTGTGTGTGTCTCTGTGTGTGTGTCTGTGTGTGTGTGTCTCTGTGTGTGTGTGTGTGTGTCTGTGTGTGATCTCAGCTGATGAAAGTTGCAAGCGAGAATTTCATCATCGCTTGCGGCTGGGGTTGGCATCGTCCCCCACTCCTGATGTCGAGGGTAAATGGGCGAGATTTAGGACTGTGACTCATGCAGCTGCAATGGCTGCTTTGGGTACGCGGTCCAGACCTCCCCAAAAACCCTGGCTGACAGAGGAGGTGTTCAGGATGGTTGAGAAAAAGCGACAGGCCCACTCTCATCGGCTACAGCATCCCACGTCAGAGAATGAGGAGGTTTACCGCAGCCTTTGCTCGGAGGTTCGGAGAGCCGTGAGGCGCTGCAAGGATGGGTGGTGGTCGCGGGTTGCTGAGGAGATGGAGTCTGCCTCAGTGGCCCGTGATCACAAATCCCCATTTAACTCCATCTTTAAAGTAACCTGCAGTGCCACACCTATTACCATCATTAGGGGAAAAACGGTGATTCAATCCCTGACCCCCAGGAACAGGTTTGCAGATTTGCTGAGCATTTCTGTGGGGATAACCCTGCTGAGGCTGCGGTGGCTCAAATATTGGAATAAGTCACCTCCTGTGAGTGGCTGGCTGAGATGCCATCTGTTGAGGAAGTACTGAAGGCGATCCAGAGTCAGAGACCAGGAAAGGCACCGGGCAGAGATGATCTCCCAAGCGAAATGCTGAGGGAGGGTGACGTTTGTGTACAGACTGCCCTATATGACATCATAACAAAAGTCTGGACCACTGGACGGGTTCCGCAGGATTGGAAGGATGCCCTGGTAGCCCCCTCTTTAAGAATGGGGACCGCACAGACTGTAATAACTACAGGGGCATCTCACTCCTCAGGGTGCCGGGAAAGGTCCTGGCAAGGATTATTCAACATCACCTTGCTAGGCACGCTGAGGAGAGTCTTGTGGAGCCTCAATGTGTTTTCAGGAAATGGCGTTCCTGCACAGATGCCATATTTTCTGTCCGTCTGCTACAGCAGAGGTGTAGGGAATTCCAACAAGACCTACATCTCTGTTTTATTGACCTGGTCAAGGCCTAAGATACCATCAGTAGGCCTGGGCTCTGGGTTGTTCTTCGTGCTTTCGGAGTCCCTGACCCTCTGCTCACGATCATTAAGGACCTTCATGATGGTGAGCGGGCCTGGATAAAACTACATGGCCGGGAGTCGGAACCATTCCCTGTACACCTTCGGGTGCAACAGGGATGTCCTCTGGCTCCAACATTATTTAACAGGCAAGGCTGCGTTGGCTGGGTCATGTAGCCCGCATGCCCAGCCACCGCATACCTAACCAGCTTTTGTTCGGCCGGATTGAAGGGGCTAAACGGGCGCGGCACGGGCTAGAGAAGAGATGGAGTGATGTGGTACAGGAGGACGTGGAGCTGAGTGGACTTGCCAATGACTGGTACCAGCGGTGTCAAGATCGGCCTCTGTGGAGGAGGCTCGTGAAGGACGCTACTGGGCAGTTGGAGGCAGTCGCCCTCCAACAACAACGGAGGGCAGAGGAGCGATGCTCACAACAACGAGCGGAGCGCCGGGTGGCTAAAGCACAGCAAGTTGGCACAGTAGTGGGCACAGGTGGTGCATCAGCCAGTCATCTCAGTCATCTCAGTCAGTCGACCCGTGGCACCTGGGTCTGCCCCGTGACCTCAAGGTGCACATTGCCTGGCACAAGCGTCGTGGTGACGTCACCGCCACTTAGTGGCGAATGGCGGTTGTTGGTTGAATGGCGGTTTTTGTCTGTGTGTGTGTATCTGTGTGTGTCTGTGTGTGTGTCTGTGTGTGTCTGTGTGTATGTGTCTGTGTGTGTGTCTGTGTGTGTGTCTGTGTGTCTGTGTGTGTGTCTGTGTGTGTGTGTGACTGTGTCTGTGTGTGTCTGTGTGTTCCAGGCTGCGCTGTGTGCAGAGCATGATAGGCCGTGTCCTGCATCGTCCGGATAACCACACGCTGCTGAATAACGTGAGACACACATACACACACATACACACACACATACAACAACAACAACAACCGCCACTCGCCACTAAGTGGGGAGTGAGATGCTCCTGTCGTTGTTACAGTCTGTGCGGTCCCCCTTCTTAAAGACGGGGACCACCAGGACATCCTTCCAGTCCTGCGGAACCCATCCAGTGGTCCAGACTGTTGTTATGTCATGTAGGGCAGTCTGTGCACAAACGCCACCTTCCCTCAGCATTTCGCTTGGGAGATCATCTCTGGATCACCTTCAGTACTTCAGTACGCCCATGGGCTGCACAAAAATCTAGTAGCCTCCTACCGTTGTTATTGAGCTGATCTGGCCTATGCCTTCCAATCACTCCAGACCAGGTGCCAACATCATGACCAACTCGGGCATTGAAGTCAACCAACAAGATGACTCTATCCCGAGAGGCCACTTTAGCCAGCACCTGCGACAGGAGGTCATAGAAGGCATCTGACTCATCGGCTTTGCCTGCATCCTTCCACGGATGTTCGTCTTCGGTGGGGGCATAACTAACCACGACCACCACTCCTCGCCTCCGGTTGATGGGAAGGCGAGCCCAAAGTAGCCTGGGGCTTGCAGCTTCCCACACCTCACCGCCACATTCTGACGCCCCCTTCATTATTTTATTCAGAAGAAGAGCCACTCCCTGTTGTTTGGCAGTCTCCTGCCCCGAGTAGAGGACTGTCCACCCCTCATGGTGGCAGCCAGAACCGGTCCACCGGACCTCCTGAATGCCACAGAGATCCAGGCGGTACCGGTCCAGCTCCCGACAGAGGAGTGGTAGCCTCTCCTCCGCAGTGAGCGTTCGAACATTTCACGTGACCACACGAAGTGGCTTTTCGTTGTTTGTGGAGGAGCCCCGAGGGTAAAGATTCAATCTCCTGGCTCCGCCAAATGGGGTTTGGCCAGGAGACTTCATAGACAACTGTCCCCCCGGGGCCTCCTGCACAAGCTTATTAGTTACATATTTTATTCATGGTTTCGTGGTAATTAATTGAAGGTGGAGGGGTTACCAGCCCCTCGCACCCGTCCAGAGCCCCCGTTTAGCCACTGTGGTGGTCACAGACGCCATGAGGGGAGAGGCCAATAGGCGTTGGTCCTCCCCCCACAGCAATGTCCACGACAGAGTTGCCCGTCCGGCACCGCGAGGAGGTAGGGGGTTGTTTTGCCGCACACACACACACATACACACACGTACAAACACGTTAAAGAGCGATGATGATAATCGATGACAATAATCGATGATGATAATCGATGATAATCAATGATGATGCCACTGCAGGAGGCGATGGTGCCCCCACAGCCCCAGATCCTCCCCCCAAACGCCACCACCGCCACCTCCACGCAAGCGCAGAGGCTGCGGTCACTCGACACATTCAGAGGGTACCACCACCACTACACAGACTCATAGACATACATAGAGACACATAGAGATACACAGAGACACATAGAGACTCATTGAGAAGTGTAGTGTATAGTGTAGTGTATGGTAGTGTAGTGTATAGTGTAGTGTATAGTAGTGTAGTGTATAGTAGTGTAGTGTATAGTGTAGTATATAGTAGTGTAGTGTATAGTGTAGTGTATAGTGTAGTGTATAGGGTAGTGTATAATGTAGTGTATAGTGTAGTGTATAGTGTAGTGTATAGTAGTGTAGTGTATAGTGTAGTGTATAGTAATGTAGTGTATAGTAGTGTATAGTGTAGTGTAGAGTGTAGTGTATAGTGTAGTGTATAGTAGTGTAGTGTGTAGTGTAGTGTATATTAGTGTAGTGTATAGTAGTATAGTAGTGTATAGTGTAGTGTATAGTAGTGTAGTGTATAATAGTGTAGTGTATAGTTTAGTGTATAGTGTAGTGTATAGTGTGGTGTGTAGTGTATAGTGTAGTGTATAGTGTAGTGTATAGTAGTGTATAGTGTAGTGTATAGTGTCGTGTATAATGTAGTGTATAATGTAGTGTATAGTGTAGTGTATAGTGTAGTGTATAGTAGTGTAGTGTATAGTGTATTGTGCTCCGCAGGATCTCCATTGTCCTCATGGTGTTCGTCAACTACGGCGGCGGAAAGTACTGGTACTTTAAACACTCGGCGTGGAACGGTGAGTCACTATACACTATACTATACACTACACTATACACTACACTATACACTACACTACTATACACTACACTACTATACACTACACTATACACTACACTATACACTACACTACACACTACACTATACACTACACTACTATACACTACACTATACACTACACTATATTACTACACTACACTATACACTACACTATACACTACACTACACGCTACACTATACACTACACACTACACTACACTACATACTATACTATACACTACACTATACACTACACTATACACTACACTACACGCTACACTATACACTACACTACACACTATACTATACACTACACTATACACTACACTATACACTACACTACACACTACACTATACACTACACTATACACTATACTATACACTACACTATACACTACACTATACACTACACACTACACACTACACTATACACTACACTATACTATACACTACACTATACTATACACTACACTATACACTACACTACACTATACACTACACTATACACTATACACTACACTATACACTACACTATATTACTACACTACACACTACACTATACACTACACTATACACTACACTATACACTACACACTACACTACACTATACACTACACTATACACTACACACTACACTATACACTACACTATACACTACACTATACTATACACTACACTATACACTACACTACACTATACACTACACTACACTATACACTACACTATACACTACACTATATTACTACACTACACACTACACTATACACTACACTATACACTACACTATACACTACACTACACTATACACTACACTATACACTACACTATATTACTACACTACACACTACACTATACACTACACTATACACTACACTATACACTACACTACACTATACACTACTATACACTACACTATACACTACACTATACACTACACTATACACTACACTATACAACTCCCATTGGTGTCTGTGTCCATGCAGGGCTGACGGTGGCAGACCTCGTGTTCCCCTGGTGAGTGTCTGGTGTAGTGTATAGTGTAGTGTATAGTGTAGTGTATATTGTAGTGTAGTGTATAGTGTAGTGTATAGTGTAGTGTATATTGTAGTGTATAGTGTAGTGTGTAGTGTATAGTGTAGTGGGTAGTGTAGTGTATAGTGTATAGTAGTGTAGTGTATAGTGTAGTGTATAGTGTAGGTATAGTGTAGTGTATAGTGTAGTCTAGTGTGTAGTGTATAGTAGTGTATAGTGTAGTGTATAGTAGTGTAGTGTATAGTATAGTGTTTAGTAGTGTAGTGTATAGTGTAGTGTATAGTAGTGTAATGTATAGTGTAGTGTATAGTAGTGTAGTGTATAGTGTAGTGTATAGTGTAGTGTATAGCAGTGTATAGTGTAGTGTATAGTGTAGTGTATAGTAGTGTAGTGTATATTAGTGTAGTGTGTAGTGTAGTGTATAGTGTAGTGTATAGTGTAGTGTATAGTAGTGTAGTGTATATTAGTGTAGTGTAGTGTATAGTGTAGTGTGTAGTGTATAGTAGTGTAGTGTATAGTAGTGTAGTGTATAGTGTAGTGTATAGTAGTGTAGTGTATAGTAGTGTAGTGTATAGTGTAGTGTATAGTGTAGTGTATAGCAGTGTATAGTGTAGTGTATAGTGTAGTGTATAGTAGTGTAGTGTATATTAGTGTAGTGTGTAGTGTAGTGTATAGTGTAGTGTATAGTGTAGTGTATAGTAGTGTAGTGTATATTAGTGTAGTGTATAGTGTAGTGTGTAGTGTATAGTAGTGTAGTGTATATTAGTGTAGTGTATAGTGTAGTGTATAGTAGTGTAGTGTATAGTAGTGTAGTGTATAGTGTAGTGTATATTAGTGTAGTGTATAGTAGTGTAGTGTATAGTAGTGTAGTGTATAGTGTAGTGCGGTGTGCGTGCTGCAGGTTTGTGTTTGCGCTGGGCTCTGCTGTGGGTCTCTCCACGGCCGGCCCGCTGCGCCGGGGCCGCCCGTCCCGTCTCCGCCTCTCCCTCCGCGCTCTGTGGCGAAGCCTCCTCCTGTTCCTCATCGGAATCTTCATCGTCACGCCCAACTACTGCCACGGGCCTCGTGAGACGCATACACTACACTACACTATACACTACACTACTATACACTACACTATACACTACACACTACACTATACTATACACTACACTATACACTACACTGCTATACACTACACTACACACTACACTACTATACACTACACTATACACTACACTCTACACTACACTATACATTACTACACTATACACTACACTACACTCTACACCACACTATACTACACACTACACTACTACACTATACACTACTATACACGACTATACACTACACTATACACTACTAGACACCACACTATACACTACACTACACACTACACTACTACACTATACACTACACTACTATACACCACACTATACACTACACTATACACTACACTATACACTACTAGACACTACACTATACACTACTACACTATACACTACTAGACACTACACTATACACTACACTATACACTACTACACTACTGTAGAGGAGTAGTCGGCCCCCGTGACGTGAGCCGGGGGTCGTCGTGGGGTTGCCGGCGATGGTGAGCGGCTGGAAGGCGGTGAAGCTAAAGATGGCTACAGGGGTGGGCGGGGCTCATGGGAGTGGCCGCTAAGAGGCGTCAGGGGCTGAGTAAAATGGCCGCTAGGAGGCGTCAGGGGCTGAGTAAAATGGCCGCTAAGAGGCGTCAGGGGCTGAGTAAAATGGCCGCCAAGAGGCGTCAGGGGCTGAGTAAAATGGCCGCCAAGAGGCGTTAGGGGCTGAGTAAAATGGACGCCAAGAGGCGTCAGGGGCTGAGTAAAATGGCCGCCAAGAGGCGTCAGGGGCTGAGTAAAATGGCCGCTAAGAAGCGTCAGGGGCTGAGTGAAATGGCCGCTAAGAGGCGTCAGGGGCTGAGTAAAATGGCCGCCAAGAGGCGTCAGGGGCTGAGTAAAATGGCCACTAAGAGGCGTCAGGGGCTGAGTAAAATGGCCGCCAAGAGGCGTCAGGGGCTGAGTAAAATGGCCGCTAAGAGGCGTCAGGGGCTGAGTAAAATGGCCGCTAAGACTCGTCAGGGGTTGAGTAAAATAGCCGCTATGAGGCGTCAGGGGCTGAGTAAAATGGCCGCTAAGAGGCGTCAGGGTCTGAGTAAAATGGCCGCCAAGAGGCGTCAGGGGCTGAGTAAAATGGCCGCTAAGAGGCGTCAGGGGCTGAGTAAAATGGCCACTAAGAGGCGTCAGGGGCTGAGTAAAATGGCCGCCAAGAAGCGTCAGGGGCTGAGTAAAATGGCCGCTAAGAGGCGTCAGGGGCTGAGTAAAATGGCCACTAGGAGGCGTCAGGGGCTGAGTAAAATGGCCGCTAGGAGGCGTCAGGGGCTGAGTAAAATGGCCGCTAGGAGGCGTCAGGGGCTGAGTAAAATGGCCGCCAAGAGGCGTCAGGGGCTGAGTAAAATGGCCGCCAAGAGGCGTCAGGGGCTGAGTAAAATGGCCGCTAGGAGGCGTCAGGGGCTGAGTAAAATGGCCGCTAGGAGGCGTCAGGGGCTGAGTAAAATGGCCGCTAGGAGGCGTCAGGGGCTGAGTAAAATGGCCGCTAAGAGGCGTCAGGGGCTGAGTAAAATGGCCGCTAGGAGGCGTCAGGGGCTGAGTAAAATGGCCGCTAAGAGGCGTCAGGGGCTGAGTAAAATGGCCGCCAAGAGGCGTCAGGGGCTGAGTAAAATGGCCGCTAGGAGGCGTCAGGGGCTGAGTAAAATGGCTGCTAAGAGGCGTCAGGGGCTGATTAAAATGGCCGCTGGAGGCGTCAGGGGCTGAGTAAAATGGCCGCCAAGAGGCGTCAGGGGCTGAGTAAAATGGCCGCTAAGAGGCGTCAGGGGCTGAGTAAAATGGCCGCTAGGAGGCGTCAGGGGCTGAGTAAAATGGCCGCCAAGAGGCGTCAGGGGCTGAGTAAAATGGCCGCTAAGAGGCGTCAGGGGCTGAGTAAAATGGCCGCTAGGAGGCGTCAGGGGCTGAGTAAAATGGCCGCCAAGAGGCGTCAGGGGCTGAGTAAAATGGCCGCTAAGAGGCGTCAGGGGCTGAGTAAAATGGCCGCTAGGAGGCGTCAGGGACTGAGTAAAATGGCCGCTAAGAGGCCTCAGGGGCTGAGTAAAATGGCCGCTAAGAAGCGTCAGGGGCTGAGTAAAATGGCCGCTAGGAGGCATCAGGGGCTGAGTAAAATGGCCGCTAAGAGGCGTCAGGGGCTGAGTAAAATGGCCGCTAGGAGGCGTCAGGGGCTGAGTAAAATGGCCGCTAAGAGCCGTCAGGGGCTGAGTAAAATGGCCGCTAGGAGGCGTCAGGGGCTGAGTAAAATGGCCACCAAGAGGCGTCAGGGGCTGAGTAAAATGGCCGCTAAGAGGCGTCAGGGGCTGAGTGAAATGGCCGCTAGGAGGCGTCAGGGGCTGAGTAAAATGGCCGCTAAGAGGCGTCAGGGGCTGAGTGAAATGGCCTCTAGGAGGCGTCAGGGGCTGAGTAAAATGGACGCTAGGAGGCGTCAGGGGCTGAGTAAAATGGCCGCCAAGAGGCGTCAGGGGCTGAGTAAAATGGCCGCTAAGAGGCGTCAGGGGCTGAGTAAAATGTCCGCCAAGTGGCGTCAGGGGCTGAGTAAAATGGCCGCTAAGAGGCGTCAGGTGCTGAGTGAAATGGCCGCCAAGAGGCGTCAGGGGCTGAGTAAAATGGCCGCTAAGAGGCGTCAGGGGCTGAGTAAAATGGCCGCTAAGAGGCGTCAGGGGCTGAGTAAAATGGCCGCTAGAAGGCGTCAGGGGCTGAGTGAAATGGCCGCTAAGAGGCGTGAGGGGCTGAGTGAAATGGCCGCTAGGAGGCGTCAGGGGCTGAGTGAAATGGCTGCTAATAAGCGTCAGGGGCTGAGTGAAATGGCCGCTAGGAGGCGTACGGGGCTGAGTAAAATGGCCTCTAATAAGCGTCAGGGGCTGAGTGAAATGGCCGCTAGGAGGCGTCAGGGGCTGAGTAAAATGGCCACTAAGAGGCGTCAGGGGCTGAGTGAAATGGCCGCTAGGAGGCGTCAGGGGCTGAGTAAAATGGCCGCTAAGAGGCGTCAGGGGCTGAGTGAAATGGCCGCTAAGAGGCGTCAGGGGCTGAGTAAAATGGCCGCTAAGAGGCGTCAGGGGCTGAGTAAAATGGCCGCTCTCCTACCACACAACTACCACACTACTCTACTCTGCTGTCTCCCCACACACACCACACACACCTACACACCACACCACACACACCACACACACACCTACACACACACACCACACACACACCCCACACGCACATCTACACACGCAGTGGTGTGGAGCGAGCTGCGTGTCCCCGGAGTGCTCCAGCGGCTCGCTGTGGCCAATGCTGCGGTGTCCTTGCTCGAGATTTACGCCTGGGGACCTCACCACTCACCGCTGGTGAGGAATCACGCTCACCACTTACTCACTCACCACTCACTCACAGCTCACCACTCACTCACTCACTCACCACTCACTTACCACTCACTCACCACTCACTCACTCACCACTCACCACTCACTTACCATTCACTCACCACTCACTCACCACTCACTCATCCACTCACTCATCCACTCACCGCTCACTCACTCACCACTCACCACTCACTCACCACTCACCACTCACTCACCACTCACCACTCATTCACCACTCACTCACCACTCACTACTCACAGCTCACCACTCACTGTGTGTGTGTAGCAGGCTGTTTGTGTGTAGCAGGCTGTGTGTGTGTGTGTACCAAGCTGTGTGTGTGTGTGTAACAAGCTGTGTGTGTGTGTAACTGTGTGTGTGTGTAACATGCTGTGTGTAATATGCTGTGTGTGTGTGTAACATGCTGTGTGTAACAAGCTGTGTGTGTGTGTAACTCTGTGTGTGTGTAACTGTGTCTGTGTGTGTCTGTGTGTGTCTGTGTGTCTGTGTGTGTCTGTGTGCCTGTGTGTGTCTGTGTGTGTAGGCGAGGGTGATGCGCTGGCCGTGGTTGAGAGATTTGCTGCCATTCTGGCCCCAGTGGCTCCTCGTGGGGCTCCTCCAAGTGGCCTGGCTCAGCCTCACGCTGCTGCTGCCTGTACCAGGCTGCATGACGTACGTGGGTGTGAGTGTGTGGTTGATGGTGAGTGGTGGTGAGTGTGAGTGATTGTGTGTGTGTGTGAGTGTATGTGTGTGAGTGACTGTGTGTGTGTGAGTGAGTGTATGTGTGTGTGAGTGTATGTGTGTGTGACTGTATTACTGTGTGAGAGAGTGAGTGTTTGAGTGAGAGTGTGTGTGTGTGAGTGTATGTGTGTGTGACTGTGTGACTGTGTGAGTGAGTGTGTGTGTGTGTGACTGTGTGTGTGTGACTGTGTGTGTGTGACTGTGTGAGTGTGTGAGTGTGCCCTGCCCACACCTACTCTGCCCGCCCTCCTCAGTGGCTACCTGGGCCCCGGAGGGATCGGCAGTGGAGGTTCCCAGGCCAACTGCACGGGAGGAGCCGCTGGGTACATCGACCGCTGGCTACTCACGGACAGACACTTGTACCAGACTCCTACCACACGGGTAACACACACACACAGACACGCACACAGACACACACACAGACAAAGTGTGTGTGTCTGTGTGTACACTGTGTGTACACTGTGTCTGTGTGTGTGTACACTGTGTGTCTGACTGTGTGTCTGTGTGTGCCTGTCTGTACACTGTGTGTCTGTGTGTGTGTACACTGTGTGTGTGTGTCTGTGAGTGTCTGTCTGTGTGTACACTTTGTGTGTGTGTCTGTGTGTTACACTGTGTGTCTGTGTGTACACTGTCTGTGTGTTATACTGTGTGTTCTCTGTGTGTCTGTGTGTTACACTGTGTGTCTGTGTGTACACTGTGTGTCTGTGTGTTACACTGTGTGTTCTCTGTGTGTCTGTGTGTGCTCAGAATCTGTATAGGACCACGGTGCCGTACGACCCCGAGGGGATTCTGGGAACGCTGAACGTGGTCCTCAGCGCCTTCCTGGGTCTGCAGGTCGGTGGAGGAGAGACGGGGGGGGGGGGGAGCTGGCGAGGGATCGGCGATTTGCGGGACATTTCTAATTGCGATTTTCACGACAGACATTGCGATCGCGATTTGATTTGCGATTAAACATTTTTAAGTCAAACTTCAGGTCAATATTCACTGCGTAACAGATTTAAAACATGTGATGGAGCATTACCACATGATACCATCAAAGTATGAACCGCTCTATATATTCTAATGCGAGGATGATAGCTTAAAAGAGACGAATTGGTTCCGACGTGTATTTATTAAAAATGTGTTAATTGAAATGGAACGATCAAACGTAGGAACAATGATCTTCTTGGTTCTTTCGGTAAAGTCACGTAGAAGGGAAACAATAAAATAATAAAAATATCAAACAATAAAAATTCTCACGACGTTTCGACTGCAACACAAGCAATCATCATCAGGTGTGAAATCCACAGCAAGAACATTTGAAAAAAGTGGCGTTTTCTTTCCTCACATCAGCACGGAAGAGTCAATGTGGCCAACTGCCAAACCGCTGTCTGTTGTTGTGGTGGTTGTTGTGGTTGTTTTGGTTGTTGTTGTGGAGGTGGTGGTTGTTGTGGTTGTTGTTGTGGTGGTTGTTGTTGTGGTGTTGTGGTTGTGATGTTGTTGTGGTGTTGTTGTGGTTGTTGTGGTGGTGATGGTTGTGGTGGTTGTTGTGGTGGTTGTGGTTGTTGTTGTGGTTGTTGTTGTGGTGGAGGTGGTGGTTGTGGTGGTTGTTGTGGTTGTTGTTGATGTTGTTGACGTTGTTGTTGTTGATGGCCGTGCAGGCTGCCCGCACAGTCCTCTCCTTCCCGGGAGACCATCGCGGCATCGTCCGGCGCTTCCTCCTGTGGGCAGCTCTGCTGGTGAGACACAAACACAACAACCACAACAACCACAACAACCACAATAACCACCACCACGGCCATTCCACGCCACCGTGGCAGGGGCCAAGTCCCTTCGCGGGCCGTGCACAAGAGGGCAGCGACAAAGCGGTTCCACCCACTTCACTTTATCCACCCAGAGGGAGAGCGGGGGGTGGTGATGGTGGTGGTGATGGTGGTGGTGATGGTGGTGGTGATGAGGGTGGTGATGATGGTGGTGGTGATGGTGATGATGGTGGCGGTGATGGTGGTGATGGTAGTGATGGTGTTGATGATGGTAGTGGTGATGATGGTGGTGATGATGGTGATGATGGTGATGATGGTGGTGATGGTGGTGATGATGGTGGTGATGATGGTGGTGATGGTGATGATGGTAATGGTGATGGTGGTGATGGTGATGATGGTGGTGATGGTGTTGATGATGGTGGTGATGGTGGTGATGATGGTAGTGGTGATGGTGATGATGGTGGTGATGATGATGGTGGTGGTGATGGTGGTGATGATGGTAGTGGTGATGGTGATGATGGTGGTGATGATGATGGTGGTGGTGATGATGGTGGTGGTGATGATGGTGTTGATGGCTTCGTGCGTCTGAACTCACGGCCACCTCGGAACCGCTGGAAAGGTCACGGTGGTACAGTGTGGACAGTGTGTAGGTGGTACAGTGTGTAGGTGGTACAGTGTGGACTGTGTATGTGGTACAGTGTGGACAGTGCATCGACGGTACTGTGGATAGTGTGCTAACGACACGTGTCTGTGTGTCTGTCTGTGTGTGCCTGTGTGTGTGTCTGTGTGTGTCTGTGTGTGTCTGTCTGTGTGTGTGTCTGTGTGTGTCTGTGTGTGTGTGTGTCTGTGTCCACCACCCCCCAGGGAGTGATCTCCGCAGTGCTGACCAAGTGCACAAGGGACGAGGGCTTCCTGCCGGTCAACAAGAACCTGTGGTGAGTAGACGCCACCACCACCACCACCATCGTCACTGTCACCACCGTCACCACCATCACCACCGCCACGGTGTTTGTTGGGTGACTTCCCCCGCAGGTCGACGTCGTTTGTGACGGTCACCGCCTGCTTTGCGTTCCTGCTGCTGGCAGCGCTGCACCTCGCCACAGACGCCCTGCAAGTGTGGACAGGAACTCCCTTCCACTACGCAGGTGACTCAGTCACTCACTCAGTCAGTCAGTCACTCACTCAGTTAGTCACTCACTTAGTCAGTCAGTCAGTCAGTCACTCAGTTAGTCACTCAGTCAGTCACTCACTCAGTTAGTCACTCACTCAGTCAGTCACTCACTTAGTCAATCAGTCAGTCACTTACTCAGTCACTCAGTTAGTCAGTCACTCAGTTAGTCAGTCACTCGGTCACTCACTCAGTCAGTCACTCACTCGGTCACTCACTCAGTCACTCACTCAGTCACTCACTCAGTCACTCACTCAGTCAGTCACTCAGTCACGCACTCAGTCGCTCACTCACTCACTCAGTCACTCACTCACTCAGTCACTCACTCAGTCACTCACTCAGTCAGTCACTCAGTCACGCACTCAGTCGCTCACTCACTCACTCAGTCACTCACTCAGTCGCTCACTCGCTCAGTCACTCACTCGCTCAGTCAGTCACTCGCTCAGTCACTCACTCAGTCACTCAGTCAGTGACTCCACCGTGACCCCCCCCGTGACCCCCCCCCCCCCCCCCCCGTGCGTGACCCCCAGGCATGAACCCGCTGCTGCTCTACGTGGGCCACGAGCTGCTGGCCTCCTTCTTCCCCTTCCGCTGGGGGGCCCCCCCGGCCCCCCCCGCGGGGCCCCTCCCCCACGCGTGGCCCCTGGCCCAGAACCTGGTGGCCTGCGCCATCTGGGTGGTGGTGGCCTGGCGCCTCCACCACCACCGCCTCTACCTCAAGCTGTGACCACCACCACCATCATCACCACCCTCATCACCACCCTCATCACCACCCTCATCGCCACCCTCATCACCATCGCCACCGCCATCACCACCATCGCCACCACCACCACCATCGCCACCCTCATCACCATCGCCACCGCCATCACCACCATCGCCACCACCACCATTGCCACCACCACCATCACCACCACCATAGCCACCACCACCATCGCCACCACCACCATCGCCACCACCATAGCCACCACCCTCACCACCATCGCCACCACCATCTCTACCTCTACCTCAAGCTGTGACCACCACCACCACCACCACCGATGGTGGTGGTGGCGATGGGTGGTGGCCTTGCCAGGGTCACAGCGGTGGCCATGTGAGGTTGCGTACAACTTGATATAGTGTTTGTAAAAGATGATATCAGGCTAACTCAAAGTGGCCGTGCTGGGTTTATAAGGGATGTGGCTGGGTTTACAACGGACGTGTCAGATTATTGGTGGCCGTGCTGGGTTTATAAAGGATGGGTTTATAAGGGATGTCATGGGTTTATAACGAGCGTGTCAAATTATCGGTGGCCGTGCTGGGTTTATAAAGAATGGGTTCATAAGGGATGTGCTGGGTTTATAACGAGCGTGTCAGATTATCGGTGGCCGTGCTGGGTTTATAAAGGACCCTTTGGGTTCACAACGGACCATATCAGAGCTCCTGCTTAGCTAACAAACTGTAGGGGACAAGTGACAGACACACGCAGACACGCACATAGACCAATACCAGCCATTCGCCACTAAGTGACGTCACCACGGCGCTTGTGCCAGGCTAGGTGCACGTTGAGGCCACGTGAAGTGTCGAACGCCCGCTGGCAGGAGGTCACGGGGCAGACCCAGGTGCTGTGGGTTGACAGATGAGTGGCTGATGCACCACCTGTGCCCCCTACTGTGCCAACTTGCTGTGTTTCATCCGCCCGGCGCTCCGCTCGTTGTTGTGAGCGTCGCTCCTCCGCCCTCCGTTGTTGTTGGAGGGCGACTGCCTCCAAGTACCCAATAGCAAACAAAAGCTGTTTAGGCATGCGGTGGCTGGGCATGCGGGCTACATGACCCAGCCTTATGCAGCCTTGCCTGCCGGAGGAGCTCACCGATGGGACTTTGTCCAGACCTTTCAAGGATTTGTGAGCTCCTTACACAATCCAGCCTGATTAAACCCAGGATGGATCGTAGGCAGGCCAGCCTGAATGTTTCGAAACGGCGAAGATGTTCCATTAGGGGGGTCCACGTTTCGTAAGCGTAGAGAAGGGAGGGCACAAACTGGTTTTACCCCTGGTCTGGCAGTAGTCTGCAGATGTGAAAACACCAAACGGAAACCTTTTGCAAGGAATCAAATTACCACACACGGGACTAATGATGATGAGGATGATTTAAAGGTTGCAAATTTCCCCCAGTGGGGTCCTAAATGAGACAGCGTCCCAGACAAGCCGCAGGAGCGGCAGCGTCTGTACGTCGCGCGTGCGTTCGAACATCTTTGGCGCCGTACGTTGCCAAAGCGCGCTAGCCGGAGGCAGCCGTGGAAGGTGAACGACACCAAACGGAGCAAGCGAGCCGCATATTCTGTGGGTCTTTCGCTCACGTCGCGTAGATGGGTTCGGGGAAGGACAACAAACTTCACAACAACAACAGCAGCAAGCAGCAGTTATAAAGATATAATTTTCTCAATATAGATCACGACGATGATCACGACGATGATTAACGACGATGATTACGACGACGATTTCACAAGTGCACCGCGGCTCCCGGTGTGGGGGGCTCATCTCGGTTCTTCGTGTCACACGAATCGGAATAAAGGTCAAACGCTATCGGTGGTCTCGCTGTACCGTTACATCCCGTCGGCAGTGAAATTGCAACAACAACAGCAGCCGCCATTCGCCACTGAGCGGCAGTGACGTCACCACGACGCTTGTGCCAGGCCATGTGCACGTTGAGGCCACGTAAAGTGTCGAACGCCCCCTGGCAGGAGGTCACGGGGCAGACCCAGCAGGTGCCACGGGTCGTACCGACTGAGATGAGTGGCTGATGCACTACCAGCTGTGCCCCCCCTACTGTGACAACTCGCTGGAGGGGCGACTGCCTCCTACTGCCCAGTAGCCTGAACGTGCACCTAGCCTGGCACTGCCCAGTAGCCTCACGGTGCACCTAGCCTGGCACTGCCCAGTAGCCTCACGGTGCACCTAGCCTGGCACTGCCCAGTAGCCTCACGGTGCACCTAGCCTGGCACTGCCCAGTAGCCTCAACGGGCCCCCGGTGAGCCAGAGACGAGAAAAAAAACGAAACACCCCAAAAAACCAACAGAAACCAGACCCGCCCGCCCGCACCACTACCACCACCACCACCCTCCTTAACCGCACTGGCTCCGCCGTGCCGGTGAAAAACGAGAGGCACACCGCCGCCGACACCGTTCACCGGCGTCGCCGCCGTTCACCGGCGCCCCACGATGCTCACGGTGCCCTGGTGCGCGGCGAGCGCCGGGCGCAGCGACTGCGTGAACCGATGGCGGAAGTGGTGCAGCAGCCTCCCCGAGTCTCCGTCGTAGAACGCCAGCAGCCCCTCGGGCGGCACCAGCCGCACCACCACCCTGCTGGGCAGCGGCGCCGCCGGTGCCGCCGGTGCCGCCCGTGCCCCGCCCTCCTCCTCGTCGCCGCCACCGTCACCGCCACCGTCACCGCCGTCGTCGCCGTGACCCCCCAGCGGCGTCTCGGCCCCAGCGTGCAGCGCCGTGAGCCGCCCGCCGCGCTTCCTCAGCGCCCAGGAGCCGGCGTCGGCACCCAGGGGGGGACACCGGCGGTCGGCGTGGCCGTCGGCGGCGTCGGCGTTGGCGGCGCCAAAGGCGCAGTCCTCGCTGCCCGAGATGTCCACCAGCCAGCAGCTGAGCTCCGACGAGAGGCGCTGGGAGCAGAGCGCCGCCGGCGGAGCGGCAGTGGTGGCGGTGGTGGCGGTGGTGGTGGTGTTGTGGGTGGTGGTGGTGTTGTGGGTGAGGTGGCGGAGGTCGGGCGACACGGAGAGCGGCGGGGAGACGGTGGCCACATCCAACGTCGGGGAGCAGTCGACTGGTGGGGGGTGCACGCACCGACACACACACAGACACACACACAGACACATACACACACACAGGTACAACAACAACAACAACAACCGCCATTCGCCACGAGGTGGCGGTGACGTCACCACGACGCTTGTGCCAGGCCATGTCCACCTTGAGGCCACGTGAAGTGTCGAACGCCCGCTGGCAGGAGGTCACGGGGCAGACCCAGCAGGTGCCACGGGTCGACTGACTGAGATGAGTGGCTGATGCACCACCTGTGCCCCCTACTGTGCCAACTTGCTGTGCTTTAGCCACCCGGCGCTCCGCTCGTTGTTGTGAGCGTCGCTCCTCCGCCCTCCGTTGTTGTTGGAGGGCGACTGCCTCCAAATGACCAGTAGCAGCAGCGTCCTTCACGAGCCTCCTCAACTGAGGCCGATCTTGACACCGCTGGTACCAGTCATCGGCAAGTCCACTCAGCTCCACGTCCTCCTGTACCACGTCACTCCATCTCTTCTCTAGCCCGTGCCGCGCCCGTTTAGCCCCCTCTATCCGGCCGAACAAAAGCTGTTTAGGCATGCGGTAGCTGGGCATGCGGGCTACATGGCCCAGCCAACGCAGCTTTGCCTGCCGCAGGAGCGCACCGATGGGACTTTGTCCAGATCTTTCTAGGATTTGTGAGCTCCTCACACAATCCAGCCTGGTTTAACCCAGGATTGATCGTAGGCAAGTTTCTAAACCGGCGAAGATGTTCCATTAGGGGGGGTCCACGTTTCGCAAGCGTAGAGAAGGGAGGGAATGACTGTGGCCAAGAAGACCCGACGCTTCGTGCGGAGCGACAGACCAGGTAGCTTCCACACAGTGTTATGCAACCGATGAAAAGATATTGCCGCTCGACTGATTCGGAGTGAGACCTCTGCTGTTAAACTGGAGCCGGTCATAAGCACACTGCCCAGGTATGGGAAACTCTCCACTCTCTCTACAACTGCCCCATCACCGATCAGGAGTTGTGGGGGTGGAGTGCCCGATGGTACAAAATACCCAGGCAGGTGCTTAGTTTTGGTGGGGCTGATGGCACACTCCAAGCTCAGGAGCAGCGCCTCCAACTCCTCCTCTGAGTGAGCTGCAATTACCAGGTCGTCGGCATACATAACGTGGTTGAGCAATAGGGAGCCATCCCTTGACCGCACCCGGGCATCAAGCAGCCTCCCATTATATCTGTACCAAATGGAAATTCCTCCAGTACAGCTATTGAATGCTTCACGAACTACGTGGTCAAAATATATGTTAAATAATGTGGGAGCCAGAGGACATCCCTGTCGCACCCCAAGGTGTACAGGGAATGGCTCTGACTCCCGGCCACGTAGTTTTACCCGGGCCCGCTCACCATCATGAAGGTCCTTAATGAGCGTGAGCAGAGGGTCAGGGACTCCGAAAGCACGAAGAACAACCCAGAGCCCAGGCCTACTGATGGTATCATAGGCCTTGATCAGGTCAATGAAGCAGATATGTAGTTCTTGTTGGAATTCCCTACACCTCTGCTGTAGCAGACGGACAGAAAATATGGCATCAGTGCAGGTCCACCCTTTCCTGAAAACGCATTGGGGTTCCGCAAGCCTTTCCTCAGCGTGTCTAGCAAGGCAATGTTGAATAATCCTTGCCAGGACCTTTCCCGGCACACTGAGGAGTGAGATGTCCCTCTAGTTGTTAAGTCTGTGCGGTCCCCCTTCTTAAAGAGGGAGACAACCAGGGCATCCTTCCAATCCTGCGGAACCCGTCCAGTGGTCCAGACTGTTGTTATGATGTCATGTAGGGCAGTCTGTGCACAAACGCCTCCCTCCCTCAGCATTTCATTTGGGAGATCATCTCTGCCCGGTGCCTTTCCTGGTCTCAGACTCTGGATCGCTTTCAGTACTTCCTCAACAGATGGCACCTCAGACAGCCACTCACAGGGGGTGACTTCTTCTTCCAATATTTGAGGCACCGCAGCCTCAGCAGGGTCATCCGCACTTTGTGCCAGTATGTTTTCCAAGATGAGGGATTTCCCCTCCCCCAGGACCTTACAGAAATGCTCAGCAAATCTGCAAACGTGTTCCTGGGGGTCGGAAATTGGATCACCGTTCTTTCCCCTAATGATGGTAATAGGTATGTGTGTGTGTGCGTGTACGTACGTTTGTGTACCTGTGTGTGTACCTGTGTACGTGTGCCTGTGTGGGTGTGTACGCACATGTGTGTGCGTGTACGTACGTTTGTGTACCTGTGTGTGTGTGTGTACCTGTGTACGTGTGCCTGTGTGTGTGTGTATGCACGTGTGTGTGCGTGTACGTACGTTTGTGTACCTGTGTGTGTGTGTACCTGTGTACGTGTGCCTGTGTACGTGTGCCTGTGTGTACGTACGTTTGTGTACCTGTGTGTGTGTGTACCTGTGTGTGTGTGTACCTGTGTACGTGTGCCTGTGTGTGCGTGTACACACGTGTGTGTGCGTGTACGCATGTGTGTGTGTACATGTGTGCGTGTGTACGTGTGCGTGTGCCTGTGTGTGCGTGTACGCACGTGTGTGTGCGTGTGTACCTGTGTGTGTGTACCTGTGTGTGTGTACCTGTGTGTGTACGTGTGTGTGCGTGTGTACGTGTGTGTGCGTGTGTGTGTGCGTGTGTGTACGTGTGTGTGCGTGTGTGTGTACGTGTGTGTGCGTGTGTGTGTGTGTGTACTCACACATCACGGCCTGCAGCAGCAGCACGGGGCCCTCCAACTCCTCCACTGGGCTCAGGCCGAGGGGCCGCGGGTCGGGGAGCGGCGTGCACAGCAGCGCCTGGAGCCTGCACAATCACACACAGAACCATGTACACACACACACACACGGAACCATGTACACACACACACGGCACTACGTACACACGCACACACACGGCACCACGTACACACGTAATCACGTACACACACACGGCACCACGTACACACACACACAGCACTACGTACACACTAAACCACGTACACACGGAACCACGTACACACGGAATCACGTATACACACACACGGCACTACGTACACACGGCACCACATACACACGGATCCACGTACACACGGAACCATGCACACGCGGAATCACGTACACACGCACACACGTACACACGTACACACGCACACACAGCACCACGCACACACGGCACCACGCACACACACGCACATCCTTTCACACGTACACACATACACACGTACACATACACACGTACACACACACGGCACCACGTGTAACCGTGACACGCGTCATCGTGAGCTGAGCAGCGCTCTGTCCGTACCTTTGCATCTCCCCCTCGGAAATCTGTGGGAGAGACAAAGACGGCCGTGAACACCCTCCCCCCCTCCCTCCTTCACCCCCCCTCTCCCTCCCTCCTTCACCCCCCCCTCTCCCTCCTTCACCCCCCCTCCTTCACCCCCCCCCTCTCCCTCCTTCACCCCCCCTCTCCCCCTCCTTCCCCCCCCCCTCTCCCTCCTTCACCCCCCCTCCTTCACCCCCCCCCCCCTCCCTCCTTCACCCCCCCTCTCCCTCCCTCCTTCACCCCCCCTCTCCCTCCTTCACCCCCCCTCCTTCACCCCCCCCCTCTCCCTCCTTCACCCCCCCTCTCCCTCCCTCCTTCCCCCCCCCTCTCCCTCCTTCACCCCCCCTCCTTCACCCCCCCCCTCTCCCTCCTTCACCCCCCTCGCTCCCTCCTTCACCCCCCCCCTCAGCCTCCTTCAGCGACTCCTCTCTCCCTCCTTCACCCCCCCTCTCCCTCCTTCACCCCCCCCCCTCTCCCTCCCTCACCAACCCCCCTATACCTCCTTCACCCCCCCTCTCCTTCACCCCCCACCACCACGCCCCCCTCCCCCCGCCCCTCCCTGTCCCCACCTGGCCACGCCTCCCTCCCGCCTGCTGCAGCTGCTGCTGCTGCTGCAGCTCCCTGAGGAGTCTGCGGCAGCGTTGTGCTTCTCCCTCGGCCCGCGAGAGGCTCCGTGCCCAGGCCACGTCCAGACGCAGCGACGCCTCCGACTCCTCCTCGTCCAGCGCCGAGCGCACGCGGGCAAACGCCTCGCGGGAGCGCGCTCGCGACGCGCTCACCAGCACCTGTGTGGGGGTGTGAGGGGTGTGTGTGTGGGTGTGTGTGGGGGTGTGTGTGTGTGTTTGTGGGGGTGTGTGAGGGTGTGTGGGTGTGTGTGTGGGGGTGTGTGGGGGGTGTGTGTGTGGGGGTGTGTGTGGGTGTGTGGGGGGGTGTGTGGGGGTGTGTGTGTGGGGGGTGTGGGGGGGTGTGTGGGGGTGTGTGTGTGGGGGTGTGTGTGTGTGGGTGTGTGTGTGTGGGGGTGTGTGTGGGGGTGTGTGGGGGTGTGTGTGCGTAGGTGGTCACTCGATAGGTAGGTCGGTTGCTCACACAGTCACACTCACACACTCACTCACACACTCACTCACACAGTTACACACTCACTCACACAGTTACACACTCACTCACACATTCACTCACTCACACATTCACTCACTCACACACTCACTCACTCACACACTCACTCGCTCACACATTCACTCACTCACACATTCACTCACTCACACACTCACTCACTCACACACTCACTCACTCTCACAGTCACTTACACACTCACACATTCACTCACTCACACACTCACTCACACACACTCACACATTCACTCACTCACACACTCACACATTCACTCACTCACACATTCACTCACTCACTCACACACTCACTCACACACTCACACAGTCACTCACACATGCACTCATTCACACACTCTCACAGTCACTCACACACTCACTCACACACTCATACAGTCACTCACTCACACACTCACTCACACACTCACTCACTCACTCACCTGTCCGTCCCTCTCCACGGCCTCCAAGCGCCTGAGGCAGCCCTCCACCTCGCCCAGCTTCCTAGACAACTCCACCTCCTCGCTCCTCGATACCTGGGGGGGGGAGGTGAGACCCAAGCGGGGGTCAAACACAGGAACCTGCACCTCAGCAACCACCACAATCACAACACCCTCCACCACCACAACGACCACCACCATCACCACCATCACCACCATCACCACCACCATCACCACCAACCTACTACCACCACCATCACCAACCCTACCACCACCACCATCACCACCAACCCTACCACCACCATCACCCACCACCACCATCACCACCAACCCTACCACCACCACCACCATCACCACCACCACCGCCACGGCCCTTCACCTCCTGCTCATCCACCGCGCCCATCTCCAGATCTCCCTCCTCCTCCACCATCACCACCTCCTGCACCACCTCCGTGCGGACACCACCGCCACCACCGCCACCACCGCCGCCACCACCGCCACCACCGACGTCCACCAGCGGGTGCCCGCGCAGCCTGGGGTTGACAAGGTGCGGCTGGACGTGCTCCCCGCAGAAGGACATCTCGCACTTGAGGCAGCTGCTTACGGCCGGCACGGCCGGCGGCCCCTCGCAGTAGTCGCACGCCGGCGGCGGCGGCGCCCTCAGCGTCCCGTCGGGAGCCAGCTGGGCCACCAGGCCGGCCAGCGCCACGTTGCAGTTGAGGGTGGGGCGGCTGGGGAAGGCCGCGCGGCACTGCGGGCAGGTGAAGGAGCCGCCGCCGTAGTCGCCGCCGCCGGCAGCGACGCAGCTTCGTGCGGTGGCGGCCCAAGCTCCCTCCAGGCAGCCGCGGCAGAAGGAGTGACCGCACGCGAGCGTGGCGGGGCAGGAGAAGGTGCACAGGCAGATTGGGCAGCTGAGGTCCTCCTCCGATACGCCGGAGGGGGGGCCGGAGGAGTGGCGGGCTGACGCCATCGTGTGGTCGGGGGGGTGGTGGGTGAGTGGGTGGATGGGTGAGTGGGTGGGTGAGTGGGTGGGTGAGTGAGTAGGTGAGTGGGTGAGTGCGCTGTGGGTGGGTGAGTGAGTGGGTGAGTGAGTGGATGAGTGAGTGGGTGGGTGAGTGAGTGGGTGGGTGAGTGGGTGGGTGAGTGGGTAGGTGAGTGGGTGGGTGAGTGGGTGGGTGAGTGGGTGGGTGAGTGGGTAGGTGAGTGGGTGGGTGAGTGGGTGAGTGCGCTGTGGGTGGGTGGCCTCTTGGTGGGTGGCCTCTTGGAATTCCTGTGGGTGACAAAGAGGAGTGGTGGCGCTGTGGTTAGCGCTACGTATGAGTGTGTGTCTGTGTGTGTGAGTGGTAGTGTAGTAGGTAGCGCTACGCTGCGCTACGAACCCGGCGACACGAGTTCGATTCTCGCTCACGGCCAACACCACCAGTGACCAATGTCTGAATCCGGTCCTGGGCCTCCTCTAGGTGGACTCAGCCTCAAATGAGTACCTGGTGTAGCGGTTGTGGTGGTATCGTAGTAAACATCGCTAGCACTGGGGGAGAGACAAAGGCGGCCGGGCGTGGTGCTGGCCACCCACCCCCTCGTGTGCCGTGCCCGGTGGCCTTCATAGGTGCTGCTCACTAACAGCACTTGCCCCTACAACCTGCTAGAGGCTACACGGGGGATCTTTGTCTGTGTGTAGGTGCTACTGACAGCACTTGCCCCTACAGCCTGCTAGAGGCTATGAATGATTATAACTTCATAATCACTAATAATCACCTCGTTACTAATGATTATGAAGTTATAATCACTCATTATAAAGTTATAATCACTAATAATCACTTTATAATCACTAATATAAAGTAATAATCACTAATATAAAGTAATAATCACTAATATAAAGTTTTAATCACTAATATAAAGTTATAATCACTTTAATTACTAATATAAAGTTATAATCACTAATATAACTTTATAATCACTAATATAACTTTATAAGATTCCAAGAACACAGGATGAGATGTTACTATCCTTTGTGCAAGCACTTCCAAGAGTTCATGAACAGTGAACCTGGTGAAATTTGGGGAGCGCATCGTCAGTAGTGACCCTTTGGTTCCTAGGGTGTTTCGGCCTTTCATACTATACACCCTCCCCAAAGGCGGCCAGTGACAGGGTGATCAATCCTACGCTTGCGTCCCATTCCCAATTAGTCGTAGGAGTTGCCTTGTTGTTGATAGCCAACATCCCATGGGACTATGCATGGCAGGGGCGTCCTCCTCCCTGAGTCAAGCATTGTTGACCACATACCTCCTGGCCCTCTCAACTAATATAAAGTTATAACTAATATAAAGTTATAATCACTAATTATAACTTCATAATAACTAATATACAGTTATAATCACTAAATATAACTTTATAATAACTAATATAAAGTTATAATCACAAACATAAAGTTATAACAACTAATATAAAGTTATAATCACTAATATAAAATAATAGTTTTTTTACCCTTCTATCTGGCAACAAAACTGACACCTTTTTACAAGAAGTCATGTTTGCATAGACCACAATAACTGCAGTCATAATGCAAACAAAAAACATAACTCTGATAATGTGCACTGTCCTTGAAGTTGATTGGTCCACACCTGAGACAGCTTTCCTTAGAGCCTAGTCTCACATGGGTTGGACCAGATGACACCAAAAGGCGCATTACTCAAAGACAATGCACCATCAGAGTATGAGAGCTCGGGGTCAAGCATTTACACCATTGGAACCTCATTTGCCAGTAAACAAAGTATGATAATTGTTTTTTTCCAACCCATGTGAGACTAGGCTCTAAGGAAAGCTGTCTCGGGTGTGGACCAATCAACTTCAAGGATAGTGCATATCATTATCAGAGTTATGTTTTTTGTTTATATTATGACTGCAGGTATTGTGGTCTATGCAAACATGACTCCTTGTAAAAAAGGTGTCAGTTTTGTTGCCAGATAGAAGGGTAAAAAACCAATTATCAACTAATAATAACTTTATAATCACTAATCGTCACCAACCGTCACTAATCGTCACCAACCAACCGTCACTAATCGTCACCAACCAACCGTCACTAATCATCACCAACCAACCGTCACTAATCGTCACCAACCAACCGTCACTAATCGTCACCAACCAACCGTCACTAATCGTCACCAACCGTCACTAATCGTCGTTCTCACCTCGTCGCTCGCCCCGCGGGGACCTCCGACCCAGCCCAGCTCGGCGTACAGTGCGGAAGTCGGGGAAGGCGGGCGGAAACGGAGGTGACGTCACGCCCGTGAGTGGTGGTGAACTTAACAAGATGGCGATGTTACAGCGAATCGTTGGAATGTACTTAACAAGATGGCCGGTATGATGGTAAGGGTGAACTTAAAAAGATGGCCGTTTTCCATTCGCGGTGGGGATGAACTTAACAAGATGGCCGGTTCTACACAGTGAGTGGTTGGAGTGACCTTAATAAGATGCTCTTAGGTTTTTTCGGTAAAGTCACGTAGGTAAAAATAAAAAATAAAATAAATAATAAAAATTATATGATAATAGAAATAAAATAATAAATCACGACGTTTCGGAGGCAACACAAGTCTCCGTCATGAGGTAGGACCGTCACAGCAAAAAAATAATAATATTTATTATTTATTTTTTCCTAAGTGACTTTACCAAAAAAACCTAAGAGTATGAATCTTTGCAGTCACGAAAGCTTCAAATCTAGACTTAATAAGATGGCCGGCTTTGTACTGTGGGAGGTGGGGGATGAACTTAACAAGATGGCCGACTGACCACACTTCCTGTTCTGACGTCACTTTCGGCTCAGCGCTCCACGTCCCCAACGTGGCGCCGAGGGGCCGCCTCCGGCTTCTACCATTGGTCGGCGCCCTCGGCGCCGCCAACCAATCCCTACACGGGAGGAGGGGAGGTGGGGGCGAGTGAGGCCGAGCGTGCGCTGTGATTGGCTACTCGGCAGGCCCCGCCTGTCGCCCCTCCCTGCTCCCTCCGCCCACGCCCCGCCCCTCCCACCTTCGTCCCGCCCCCTACACTATCGGCCCCGCCCACTCCACACAAGCCCCGCCCACTCCACCACAAGCCCCGCCCACTCCACCCTCGGCCCCGCCCCCTCGACGTCTGGCTCCGCCCCCTTGACGCCCGGCCCCGCCTCCACCGCATTCCTCGTCGCGAGACCGAGAAGAGCCCAGCCTACTGTACACGCAGCCTGTAGCACACTGCACGCACCGCACGCACTGTACATACTGTACACACTGCACTCACAGCCTTTACATACACACACTCACACAGGCTGTACACACACACAGCATACACACACACAGCCTGTACACACACTCACAGGCTGTACACACACTCACACACAGGCTGTACACACACACAGCATACACACACAGGCTGTACATACACTCACAGGCTGTACACACACACAGCATACACACACAGGCTGTACACACACTCACAGGCTGTACACACACACAGCATACACACACACAGCCTGTACATACACTCACACACAGCTATACAACACAACATCAGCAGCAACAACAGCAACAACAACAGCAACAACATCAACAGCAGCAACAGCCACCACAACGACGACGACGCCGCCTGTGCCGGGCTCGGGCGCCTTGTGACGCTGCTGCTGCTGCTGCCGCTGCCCAGCAGAGGGACATGGAGACTGCGAACCCCAACAAGAGGGTGCGGACTGGGGCTGTGTCCAGCTGGGTGAGTGGTGGGTGGGTGGTGAGGGTGGTGAGTGGTGAGTGAGTGGTGAGTGAGTGGGTGGTGAGGGTGGTGAGTGAGTGGTGAGTGGGTGAGTGGTGAGGGTGATTTTTATTTTATTTTATTTTCATTAATTTTGATGTTTTACCTACGTGACTTTACCGAAAAAAACCTAAGAATATGAGTGGTGAGGGTGGTGAGTGGGTGGTGTGGGTGGTGGGTGGGTGGTGAGGGTGGTGAGTGAGTGGTGAGGGTGGTGAGTGGGTGGTGAGTGAGTGGTGAGTGGGTGGTGAGTGAGTGGTGAGGGTGGTGAGTGAGTGGTGAGTGGGTGGTGAGGGTGGTGAGTGAGTGGTGAGGGTGGTGAGTGGGTGGTGAGGGTGGTGTGGGTGGTGAGTGAGTGGTGAGAGTGGTGAGTGAGTGGTGAGGGTGGTGAGTGGGTGGTGAGGGTGGTGGGTGGGTGGTGAGGGTGGTGAGTGAGTGGTGAGGGTGGTGAGTGAGTGGTGAGTGAGTGGTGAGGGTAGTGAGTGGGTGGTGAGGGTGGTGAGTGGTGAGGGTGGTGAGTGGGCGGTGAGGGTGGTGAGGGTGGTGAGTGGGTGGTGAGTGAGTGGTGTGGGTGGTGAGTGAGTGGTGAGTGGGTGGTGAGGGTGGTGAGTGAGTGGTGAGAGTGGTGAGTGGGTGGTGAGGGTGGTGAGTGAGTGGTGAGGGTGGTGAGTGAGTGGTGAAGGTGGTGGGTGGGTGGTGAGGGTGGTGAGTGAGTGGTGAGGGTGGTGAGTGAGTGGTGAGTGAGTGGTGAGGGTGGTGAGTGGGTGGTGAGGGTGGTGAGTGGTGAGGGTGGTGAGTGGGCTGTGAGGGTGGTGTGGGTGGTGAGTGAGTGGTGAGTGAGTGGTGAGGGTGGTGAGTGGGTGGTGAGGGTGGTGAGTGAGTGGTGAGGGTGGTGAGTGAGTGGTGAGAGTGGTGAGGGTGGTGAGTGAGTTGTGAGGGTGGTGAGTGGTGTGGGTGGTGAGTGAGTGGGTGGTGAGGGTGTGTGAGTGAGTGGTGAGGGTGGTGAGTGGGTGGTGAGTGAGTGGTGAGTGGGTGGTGATGGTGGTGAGTGAGTGGTGAGGGTGGTGAGTGAGTGGTGAGTGGGTGGTGAGTGGTGAGGGGGTGGTGAGGGTGGTGAGTGAGTGGTGAGGGTGGTGAGTGGGTGGTGAGGGTGGTGAGTGGGTGGTGAGTGGTGAGGGGGTGGTGAGGGTGGTGAGTGAGTGGTGAGGGTGGTGAGTGGGTGGTGAGGGTGGTGAGTGGGTGGTGAGGGTGGTGTGGGTGGTGAGTGAGTGGTGAGGGTGGTGAGTGAGTGGTGAGTGGGTGGTGAGGGTGGTGAGTGGTGAGTGGGCGGTGAGTGGTGAGGGGGTGGTGAGGGTGGTGAGTGAGTGGTGAGGGTGGTGAGTGAGTGGTGGTGAGTGGGTGGTGAGGGTGGTAAGTGGTGAGTGGTTGGTGAGGGTGGTGAGTGAGTGGTGAGGGTGGTGAGTGAGTGGTAAGGGTGGTGAGTGGGTGGTGAGTGGATGGTGAGTGGTTGGTGAGTGGGTGGTGAGGCCGGTGAGTAAGTGGTGAGTGGGTGGTGAGGGTGGTGAGTGGGTGGTGAGTGAGTGGTGAGGGTGTTGGGTGGGTGGTGAGAGTGGTGAGGGTGGTGAGTGAATGGTGAGGGTGGTGAGTGAGTGGTGAGGGTGGTGAGTGAATGGTGAGGGTGGTGAGTGAGTGGTGAGGGTGGTGAGTGAATGGTGAGGGTGGTGAGTGAGTGGTGAGGGTGGTGAGTGGGTGGTGAGGGTGGTGGTTCAATAATTTTTCAACACGTTTCATCAACGGGGACAAAGTTGAGATAGGTCGGTATTATTTGGATCATCTTTAGGGCCCCCTTTGTGAAGTGGACGACCATAAGAATGTTTCCATTCTAGAGCTACTGATACTTCTTTGATGGACAGGTTGAAAATATGGGCTATAGGTTTGTATATTAGGTGACCAACAGTTAGTAGAGCAAAGACGGGAACACTATCCGCTCCGGTAGAGGAGGACCCTTTGAGGTAGGACAGTTGTTTCAGAAGATTACTTTCGTGGATAGGCTGGAAACTAAATTCGTTTAATGTTTGGACAGCGGTGTAGGAAAATTGCATGGGCAGGAGTGACTCCAAATACATTATCAAAAAGGTCACCAGCTTCAGAAAATGAAGGTTAAAATTTCGATTTAAAGCTTTCGTGACTGCAGGGATTCATCTTCTTGGTTCTTTTGGTAAAGTCACGTGGAAGGGAAATAATACAATAATAAAAATAAAACATAATAAAATAATTCTCACGACGTTTCGGCCACAACGCAAGCAGCCGTCCTCAGGTGCTTGCGTTGTGGCCGAAACGTCGTGAGAATTATTTTATTGTTTTATTTTTATTATTTTATTATTTCCATTCTACGTGACTTTACCGAAAGAACCAAGAAAAAGGTTAAAATTGTTGACTACTTTTTGGGGCTCTGAAAAATAGTCCACATTTTGGTTAAGCGCAACGGGCAGATTATCTGTGTTGGATGCCTTTTCGATACATTTTACTGTTTTCCAGAAGATCCTGGCGTTGCCGTGTGATTCCAGGAGAGTGGAAGAAAAGTGAGCATTTTTTGCATGCCGTATTTTTTTGACGCATCTATTCCTTAAAATCCTCTATTCTAGCCAGTCTTTGACCAAGTTACTTTTCTGAGCACATGGCCAAGCCTTGTCCCTAGCCTTCACGAGCTTTGTAACCAAAGGATCAAACCATGGTGGGCGGTTGCCTTTAGTTTTAAATCTAACCAACGGAGCATGTTTGTTGATAATACTCAGGTTGGGGATATCACCGACCTTGTCAATATCCGAGTGAAGCACATCATTAGTAAATGCCTGAGAGCTGAAGTGTCTCATGGAGTGCTTCTCAACCAATTTAGGGGGGGCTTTGGGTCTGGCTGACGATCTCACCCCAAAAATGAAGGAGTGATCACTAAGCTTATGACCCAGAACACCAGTAAGTAGGAAATTGTGAGGGGCATTAGTCAACAGGATGTCAAGCAGAGATGACTGTCCCGGATTTTTTAGGTTGGGTCTTGTGGGGACATTTATTAATTGAAACACGTTAAATTCACCCGCAAAATTTGTGGCCACGGCCGGCGGGTTTAGCCAATTCCAATTCAGATCACCAACTAAAACTAATTCACCCTTAGGGAGGCCTCCAAGAAGCTCCCTCAGTGCGTCCCCAGCTTCAACATCCTTACCACCAGGCGGTCCAAAGCAGCACACAACCAATATCTGTTGATTTTTAACAAGGCCGCTCTTCATCCTTTCACAGAAAATACCTGTGCAAACTATTAATTGTATTTTTCTTATTTCTGGGAGGTATTGAGCTTCACCCTGGTCCAAATGTAAATAATGATAAAAACAATTCTGGCAGAAAAGGTGTTGGTGTTCTACACGTGAACATCAGAGGGCTTGTGATTAAATGAAGTCAACTAGAAGTGGCAAATCTGGACCCGGACATTTTCTGCCTTCCAGAAACATTTCTCACTCCGGCGGTCAATTACTTGCAGATTACGATTGACAAATACAACCTTTTTCGGCTTGACCGAGAGTCTAAAGGAGGTGGAATTGCCACCTATGTTCGTAGCGCTATAAGTATGTTCACCGTCTCATTCACGTAGATGTAAAATTAAATACAAAAATTCTACCCACGTGACTTTACCGAAAGAACCAAAGAGTATGGATTGCTGCAGTCACGAAAGCTTCACATCAAGATTCGGCAACATGTTTTTAACAAGGAGTGAGCTGGTGGTGATGGTGGCGGTGGTGGTGGTGGTGATGATGGTGGTGATGGTGGTGATGATGGTGATGATGGTGGTGGAGGTGGTGGTGATGGTGGTGGTGATGATGGTGGTGATGGAGGTGGTGGTGGTGATCATGGAGGTGGCGGTGGCGGTGATGATGGTGGTGATGGAGGTGGTGGTGGAGGTGGTGGTGGTGGTGATGGTGGTGATGGAGGTGATGGTGGTGATGATGGAGGTGATGGTGGTGATGAAGGTGGTGGTGGAGGTGGTGGTGGTGGTGATGGAGGTGGTGGTGATGATGGAGGTGGTGGTGGTGATGATGGTGATGATGGTGGTGATGGTGGTGGTGGTGGCGGTGGTGGGTGTGGTGATGGTGGTGGTGGTGGGGATGATGGAGGTGGTAGTGGTGGTGATAGTGGTGGCGGTGATGATGGTGGTGATGGAGGTGGTGGTGGAGGTGGTGGTGGAGGTGGTCGTGGTGGTGATGATGGAGGTGATGGTGGTGATGGAGGTGGTGATGGTGGTGGTGGTGGTGGTGATGGTGGTGATGATGGTGGTGATGATGGAGGTGGTGATGATGGTGGTGGTGGTGGCGGTGATGATGGTGATGATGGTGATGATGGTGATGATGGTGGTGATGGTGGTGGCGGTGGTGGCGGTGGTGGGGATGGTGATGGTGGTGATGATGGAGGTGGTGGTGGTGGTGATGGAGGTGGTGATGGTGGTGGTGATGGTGGTGGTGGCGGTGGTGGTGGTGTCTGGGTGTGCGGTGTCGTACGGGTGGGGGGGGGATGCCGTGACGGATGGACGTGGGGGGGTCAGCGAGCCCCGCCCCTTAACATCACTTTAACGTAACTTTAACAAACATTGAGAGTAACTTAAAGTAACTTAAATAAACATTTATAGTAACTTAACATCACTTTAATAAACATTTATACTAACTTAACATAACTATAATAAACTTTACACTAACTTAACATCACTTTAACAACATTTATACTAACTTAACATAACTTTCAAAACATTTATACTAACTTAACGTAACTTTAACAACATTTATACTAACTTAACATAACTTTAATAAACATTTACAGTAACTTAACGTAACTTTAATAAACATTTATACTAACTTAACATAACTTAAACAAACATTTAGAGTAACTTAACATAACTTTAACAACATTTACACTAACTT